AAATCGATAAATTCCAATAGAAGTGATTTTTATAAATTATTATAATAAGCTATTTTTCCTTGGTCCTCCGGGTCGGATTTTGGTTGAAAATGTTCCCAAACGTACAAAGAAGCTTAGTTCAGGTTCTATTAATAATTATCTAACTTTTAATCCCGTAAGTTAATTAATAACATTCAATTTATAAGTTATTTTTATAATAAGGCTTTTTTTCTGGTCCTCCGGGCCAGATTTTGGTCGATAATATTCTCAAAATATACTAAGAAGGCTAGGCCATTTTATAATTAACAATCCACCATCATCAAACCAATAAAGTTCATTAATAAGTCTCATTTCCCATAAATAAACTTTTTTTCTACGCCCTCCGGGCCGGATTCCATTCGAAATGCTACAAAACATATGAAGAAGCCTTAACCTTTCAAATTGATAATAATGAAATTAAACCTATAAAACTCCTTAACAGGCCTCAACTATTAAAATTAAATAATGTAAAAAATGTGTGTGTGGTGATTAGTGACCGTTAATCGATCTATTCAGAAATCGTAAAAAATATATTTCCGGTCCTCCGGGCAGGATGTCGATTTAAATTTTTTTAGTAGGAATTATTGACCTATAGTCAATATTTTAAACCGATCACTTTTCATCTCTTCAACTCTATACAGATCTTTGAATCACCGAAGTCAATTGATTAATCGGATTAATGGACCAAAGACCACTTGAATCCGTTTTACCTTTAACAAATTGATCGACGGTCAATAATCGGCAGAAATAGTGGTGTCTTTGACCTTTCACTCCATTTGAATCTACATGAAAACTTGCTCAACCGTAACGAAAAATTGACAGTGTCAATAATAATTACAACTGGTGAAGTTTACCTTCTATCTACCCAGTGAATTTATAAAAAAACATTCCGATTGATTCCGGACAAGTGATTCAGTATCAATTAATCGACTAAAGTATTTTCTTTCCATGAGAAAACATCTCCCCACTGGGAAAAAATTATTGACTAAAATCATCAAACAATAGACGTAACCACAAGTACCACTAGTCAATAGGAGGACTACTAACATCCTCTGATTTATTTGCAACTATTTTTCTTTCCGAAATATAGGAAGAAGGACCTTTAATGTCCTTACTAACCTTAAAAAATAATCTACTGTTAGTCTCTTCCTTACTAAACATCCTTATTAAACGATAATGTCCTTACTAAACTGAAAAATTACCTACTGTTATTCTCTACGTTACTAAAAAAATAATAATAATAATCTACTGTTAGTCTCTTCCTTACTAAACATCCTTATTAAACTATAATGTCCTTACTAAACTGAAAAATTACCTACTGTTATTCTCTACGTTACTACAAAAATAATAATAATCTACTGTTAGTCTCTTCCTTACTAAACATCCTTATTAAACTATAATGTCCTTACTAAACTGAAAAATTACCTACTGTTATTCTCTACGTTACTAAAAAAAATAATAATAATAATCTACTGTTAGCCTCTTCCTTACTAAACATCCTCATTAAACGATAATGTCCTTACTAAACTGAAAAATTATCTACTGTTATTCTCTACGTTACTAAAAAAATAAATCTACTGTTAGTCTCTTCGTAACTAAGCTTACTTATTAACCTGTAATGTCCTTAATAAACTTAAAAAAATAATCTACTGTTAGTCCTTTTCTTTAGTAAACGTCCTTACTAATACATAGCGTCCTTACTAAACTCAACATATAATCTACTGTTATTCTCTTCGTTACTAAAAAAAATAGTAATAATAATCTACTGTTAGTCTTTTCCTTACTAAACTGAAAAATTATCTACTGTTAATCTCTACGTTACTAAAAGAAATCCACTGTTAGTCTCTTTCGTTACTAAACTTCCTTATTAACCTATATTGTCCTTAATAAACTTAAAAAATAATCTACTGTTAGTCCTTTTCTTTAGTAAACATCCTTACTAATTCCTAGCGTCCTTACTAAACTCAACATATAATCCACTGTTATTATCTTCGTTACTAAAAAAATAATCTACTATTAGTCTCTTCGTTACTAAACATACTTAACTTATTAACCTATAATGTCCTTTCTAAACTTAAAAAATAATCTACTGTTACTCTTTTCTTTTCTAAATATTCTTATTAACCCATAATCTCCTAACTAAACTCGTCAAATAATCTAATGGTAGTCTCTTCTTTGCAAAATATCCTTACTAACCTATAGTGTTCTTACCAAACATCGTATTAACCCATAACGTCCTTACTAAACTCAACAAATAATCTACTGTTAGTTTCTTCGTTACTAAACATCCTTGTTCACCTATATTGTCGTTACTAAACTTAAAAATAATCTACTCATAGTTCTTTTCTTTACTAAACATCCTTATTAAATCATAGCGTCCATTTTAGATAACAACAAATAATCAATTATTAGCCTCTTCCTTACTAAACATCCTTACTAGCCCATGTCCTTAATAAACTTTACAAAAAATAATCTACTGTTAGTCTCTTCGTCACTAAACATCCTTATTAAACCAATATGCCCTTACTAAAATTAACAAAATAATCTACTGTTAGTTTTTTTCTTTTCTAAATATTCTTACTAACCTATAATGTCCTAATTAGGCTTTTAAAAAAAATCTACTGTTAATTCTCCCTTACCACACATCATCACTAAACCCTTAATGTCGTAATTATATTCAACTTATAATGAACTACTAGTCTTCACTAATCCGTGATGTCTTTACTAAACATAACAATAATCCGCTATAAGTGCCTTCCTTAGTAAACATCCTTACTAATCCCTAAATTTCCTTACTAACCTCAACAAATAATTTACTATTAGATATTACTAGCCCATCATGTCCTGACCAAACCCAATAAATAATTTACTATAGTTGTTACTAAACATCCTTACTAATTCATGACATCCTTATTAAACTTACATAAGAATCTACTGTTAGTCTCTTCCCTACTAAACATCGCAATTAACCTATAATGTCTTTACTAAACTTTAAAAAGAATCGGCTGTTAGTCCTTTTCGTGACTAAATATCCTTACTAATTCATAACGACTTTACTAAACTCAACAATTAATCTACTCTTCGTCTCTTCGTTACTAAACATCCTTATTAAACCAAAATGTCCTTACTAAACTCAACAAATATTCGGCTGTTAATCTGTTCTTTGCTAAATATCCTTACTAACCTATAATGTCCTTACTAAACATCCTTATTAACCCATAATGTTCTCATTAAACTCAACAAATAGTCTACTATAAGAAATAGTATAGATCAAATTTATCTAAAATCGATAGTATCTTTCCTTGTTTGCAACTTTTTCTCGAATAAACTCAACAATTAAAATTCTATTATTCCTTAAGTCCTACTAATTTCTTCTTTTTTTATTCCTTACGAACACTTTGGATCGTTACTAACAAAACCTCCTGACATAGCTCAACGTAAAATTGACTCATAAAAAATCAATACTACCAAAATACATTTACGGCAATTTTTTAAAAAAAATCCTTACTAACTATTAATTTCTTGACTAAACTCGAACAAAAACCGACTAAATAAATCCCGCCTATTAATTTTTGCCTCTTTCTTACTACACACTTCGAAAAAAATTCTTACTAATAAAATTTCTTGACAGCCCAAAGTGCAATTGAACCATAGTCAATACTGACAGAATATTTACGATCATTTTTTACTAATCATCATTTCTAAATTGACAGTGGTCAATAATACTGAGCCAATAGTACGAAAAACCTTTACGATAGGTATATTCGAAACCTTGAACGTTTCTTTATTTGACACTGATTTTTTTTTTTTTTTTTTGGTCCTCTGGCCCGGTTTTTTTTTTTTTTTTTTTTAATTTCTTTTTTAGAAAACGCGAATAATTATTCTTTAATGTTTCGATTCATAGTGAAGCAATTAATGGGTCGATTCGATTAGTGTTTTATTTTTGGTCCTCCGGGCCGTATTTGTTGTTAAATATCCCGTAAAGGCAATACTTTGAATAAGGGAATCGTGATAATCAAGTTTACGATAAAACTAGGCCGGTTTTTCTTTTCTTTTTTTAATTTTTTATTAGTGTTATTAGTTATTAGGCCCGTTGTTTATTCGGACCTGACTGCCTCGTTGTTTTTCACAGTCGTTGCATAACATTTGTGTTGTTTTTCATAGAGAAATAAAATGAAAACAACTGGCAAATCGAAGGTTTTTCACCGGGGCATCCTTGAATAATAAACTTTTGAAACAATAGGCAATTTGGCCCGATTGTTTTTGTGTTTTTGAGACAAAAGTCACGTTTTTTGAAAATAAATTATAGATTTTTTTTTAATAAAAAAATATTTTTGAACTTACAACAGTGTTGGTTTGTTATAAGTCGTATCCTTTTTTTTTGTTCCTTATGTCCTTTTGGTCCTGTTCACACTTTGGAATGAGAAAAGCCGACGCGCTTTAAAACGGACTTCGGGGCTTCGTTTGTTCGACCCTCGGAGGACGCGCACGCATTCGAAAGGCTGCCACTGTGACGACTGAACACTGAACGTCCGTGGGACGCGCCTCCCCACCAGACCTAGGGATCCGTACATCCCCCACCTGCTTTTATGGTAGAGACCGTTGACGGATACAAGGCGAGACGTGGCGGACCGTGACGGGTCAAACAGGTGACGGGAAAAGACGGCCAATTCGAAAAAAAATTGAAAAAATGCTGAATACTAGGCATTTTTTATTTTTTAAATCTAATAATCCATCGTATATCACAAAAATGTATCACGATATTTTAAATCAAGTGCTTTACTATTGATTGTCAATAAAAAATTATAGAAAATGTTTCAAAGTGAACTGCTCAGAGTTGTACAAGTGGAAAGGCCATAGGTCCCTAGATTCGAATCTGTTAGCAGTTATGAAGGCTTGATTTTCCGACTTGACCAACTGCTTAAATCAAGCACCCTTTCATATCAAAAAGCCTTTTTTCTATTGAAAAGCCGATCGCTTACCCCCGTGTTGGACGCGATGTCTCCGTCCGACTTGGAAGACGTGCCTCTCGATCCGGCCGAGCCCGGGTAGAGGCAGTTGTCCGAGAAGCATTTTTCGAGCCTTAGACCGATTTCGAGCCTCGTCTGAGCCGCCTCGTAGCATTTGGTGAGCTCCTCGACCCTGAGGCTCGGCAGGGGCGAGTGCGGCATGGACCGGTGCCCCTCCGGGGGATGGATCCTCACTGTCACCTCCTGGGACATCTTTCTAGAACATATCTGCAAAATTGAAAAATCACGACGATCATTATGGTCAATTGGTTGGCTTACTATACAGAATACTAGTACTTAACAAAAAAACACTCAAGAGTTAATTAATTATTTAATATAAGATTATACACAGCATTTATATTAGCAATGAAAAAGAAAGAAAACTAATTCAATCAGAAATTACTTAAGATCAATTGTTCATAAGCAGCAGTTCTACGATCTATTGACTATGGGTCAATTTATCCTATAGTTATAGTTGGAAGTCCAGTTAGTAAGTCTGCTATAGTTAAACATTCCGATGGAGACGGGAAACAGTTTTACTATATATTGATCGAACTACTATTCATTGACAATGGGTCAATTAGTTTGGAGGGTAAAATCAAGAAATCAGTTACTAAGTTAGTAATTTCCTATAAAAATAAACAGAATTTATTGAGAAAAAAGAATATAGTAGTTTTACTATTTATTAATTCTAGATTAATTGATCTAAACATAAAGTCCGAAAGTCAATTATTTGTATTTAAGTTTAATATTCCTAAAAGAGAAAAGGTAACATAAAATAGTATTTCTACTATTTATTGACCCAAGGTTAATATGGTTGTAAATGTTATTTAAATATATTTTGAGGAAGGTTAGTAAGGGCGTCGGTGGCCGCAACAGTTTAGGCGTTGACATGGCGCTCATCACTGTAAGGTAAAGGTCCCGGGTTCGAATCCAGCGGCCCTGCATTCGAACCCGACATACTTACAAATGGGCTTTTTTTTTTCAAAAAAACCGGCACCCTGAGGGTTTATATGATCTCTGCTGTTGCGAACCCTCATTTTAAAAAAATTATTGACTCCCTCAGTAAAGATCCTAGGTCAATTTTTCTAAATGTAAAATCAGAAATTCAAATGATAAGTTTTTGTATAATATACGTTTTCGTCGAAAATATATATTTTCGTTGAATATTTTAAATTGAGGGAAGCGTACTATAGTAGTTCTATTATTTATTGACTCTGGTCAATTGTTCTATGTATAGTCAGAAATTTTGTTTATAAATGTGATTTTATTTAAGACGAAAATAAAACGAATAGTTAGCTTGAAATTGTAGTTCTATTAATTGATCCTAAGTCAATTGTTCTACATGTAAAATCAGAAATTCATTTAGTATGTTTTTATAATATTTTTTTTTTAAAGTGTACAGTAGTAGTTCTACTATTTATTGACTATGGATCAATTCGTAGTTTAAAATCAGCAATTCAGTTAGTAAGTGTGGTAAAATGGTAGTTCAACTGTTTATTGACTTTTGGTCAATATATCGTCTATTTTTTGGCCAGGTTTAGATTAGAACAGAGTGGAACATTAAGCTATTATCTAGTATTTATTGACTGTAGGTCAGTTTTTCTTTGTTTCACGTCAGGAATTTTGAAAATCAGTTAAGGAGAGTAGAATAAAAGTTTCTGATTGTAGGGGTAACTGATTCTGAAATTGTTTCGACACGTTCATCTTTAGAAATTTTGAACAATGGAAGAGAATTTGTTTTGATTTGTTGTTTGACCACCTCCGAGTCTCTTACCGCCCTTCTGCAGCATATAGAACACCTCTGGACAGTCGTAAAAATGTCATTTACCTCTTTTTTTCCCCTTTTGGTCCGTTATCGAAGTCGTCCCGCAGACGTCCAGGCAAGGTCAACCGTTGACGTCGCCTTGGGGTATTTTTTGGCCGCCCCTCGTCACTGACGGGTTATGCTGCGTTACTGGGGGCGGCGCAGGCGTCCGATTCCCGTTCCGTGCCGCCTCCCTGCCCCCGATTCGTATCGATTTTACAAAGGGGGCGGGGGTCGGTTAAGTTTTCAGGGCCACGGCAGGGAGCCGGCTCCGGGGGCGGAGAGAAAAGGGTCCAGACGACAAAACCCAACGGGCATGCTGTAGAAGAGAATTACGAGTTAAAAACGAAACCCACTACCACATGTGTGATACATGACCTTTTGTCGATCCTGACATTTGTTTATTTTGATCCAACCCAACGTCGACCGGCCTTTCATTCAGGATTGAGGATTCACGAGGGGCGATAGTATATAGTATATTAGTAAGGATGTCGAATAGTAGGAAAGAATATTAACAGATTTTCACCATGGTTTTCACCATTGGTTGTCAGATTGATTGTACTGTTAGAAATGTGGTTAGTGGGATTATCTTTTATGGAGGTTAGTGGGTTAGTAAGGATGCCATAGTGAGGGGTGGGCTTTCATTTTTTTATTTTTTTTTATTTTTTTGTTAGTCGGTAGTTGGGGAATGTTAGCAGGTTTGGTTAGTAATGATTATTTTCTTGGAGATTAGTCGGTTAGTAAGAATTTTGTTAGTGAGGGATGTATTTTTTTTCTTTTGGAGGATAGTTAGGAAAATGTTAGTAGGTGTAATTATTAATTTTTTTTTATTGGATTTTTGGTCGGTTTCTTAAGAGATGAGGGTTTTTTTTTCTGATGGTCAGTTGGTAGAAGGTAGATTTTTTTTGTTTTTTGTTAGTTGGTAGAAGGTAGAAAGATGTTAGTAGGTTTGGTTAGTAATGATTTTTTTTCTAGAAGTTTAGTCGATTAAAAAGGATTTTGTTAGTGAGGGGTGTGTTCGAATTTTTGTATTAAGTAGTTAGGAATGCATAAGTAGGTTTGGTTAGTAATGATTTTATCTACATACAGAGGATATACGTTAGTAAGGATTTCGTTTAATAAGGGGAGGGGTTATTTTTAATTGGGTAGTAGGATAGGGGTTAGCAAAAATGTTAGTAGGTTTAGTTAGTAATGATCTTTCCTTGAAATAGAGGTTCGGCAGAAGATATAAGTTAGTAAGGATGTCGTTACTAATGATAGTTAATATGGAAGAATAGTAAAGATGTTTTTCATGGAGTCAGTGAGTTATAGATTAGTAAAGATTTCGTTAGTAACGTTTTTTTGGAGTCGAAGTAGAATGATGTTAGTATGTTTGTTTAGTAATGATTTTATCTTGGAATTTATTCCAATGTACAACAGTTAGTAAGTATTTTACTAACCATTGGAAAAAACACCATTTCTAACGACATCCTTATATTTTCTGCCGAACCTCTGCTGCAAACTGCTAACACCCTCCCCTGATTAAACGAAATCCTTACTAACCTATATCCTCTGCATAACCGACTCAATTGCAAGATAAAATCAGTACTAACCAAACCTACTTACGTATCCCTAACTAACCAATAAAAAATCGAAAACATCGAGGTTAATCAGGATTTCGTTAAAGATGTCGCTCGTGGGATTTAGTAGATTAGATGAGATTTTGTGGTATAAGTTGGGTAAAACATATTAGTAGGGAGGGATAGTAACGCCTTTTCATGGAGTCTGGTTGGTCAGTTCGGAAATACAGATTAGATTTCGTTATAAGGATATTTTTTTATAGGCTAGTTAGTATTTCGTTAGTAAAGATGTCGCTCATGGAGTTTAGTAGATTAGATGAGATTTTGTTATAGAAGTTGGATAAGAAATATTAGTAGAGAGGGAAAGTGAAGACGATTTTTCATGGAGTCTGATTGTCAGTTGGGAAGTACAGATTAGTAAGGATTTCGTTAGTAAGGGAAGGTTTTTTTTTATTTGTTAGTAGTATTTAGGTCCCCCTCACCAATGAAGCAAAATCGCGTTGTTCACCAACATGCCACGGTATGACATCATCGATGACGTGCGTGCCGGTTATCAAGAGGCGGTACCAGGCTTTCAGCAGTGCAAGAGAAAAAAAATAAGAGGAGGAAGGAAAAGCCGAAAAGGTCCCACTTCTTCTACACCTCTGGCTTGAACCCCCAGGACACCCTAAATTCTCGCCGAGCTTCTCCTTAAAATAAAAAAACTGGTGCTTAACCCAAAAAGAAAAGAAGAAAAAATAGGGAGGTTTTTAAAAAAAAAGTAAATCAGCCATGAATGGAAACGTCCTCGGTAGAATCTCCACCGCCATCAAGGTATTTAAAGATTAAAATTTAATATTACTATTAATCTGGAGGATTACCCTTGTTTTTTGTTAATCCGGTGTTCAAAAAGTTGCTTTGTGGTTTTGTGTGTATGATTATTGTGCCTGGTGGACCCGGGGCAAGGACATGAGGCTATTATTATAGGAGATAAGCGGATTAGATAATCTATTTTATCTGTTCTATTTTTTTCGGGTTTGTTAAAACAGCCGGGATGCTTGGCGCATACACAGAAGGTGGTGGCGTTGCAGCAGAGGTTCTACGCGTCAGAGCAAGAAGCAGATTTGGTGGTGATAGGCAGCGGGCCGGGCGGTTATGTCGCTGCTATCAAGGCAGCGCAACTCGGCCTGAAGACTGTGTGTGTCGAGAAGAACCCAACGCTAGGCGGTACTTGCCTCAACGTCGGGTGCATACCGTCCAAGGCGCTTCTCAACAACTCTCACTACTATCACATGGCGCAGCACGATTTCAAGACCAGGGGGATCGAAGGTATATGAATCAAAGAAAATATTATATTAATTTAAACAAAATAGTTGATTTTTTTTTTTTTTAAGTTTCGGATGTTAAACTCAACCTAGACACATTCATGAATGCAAAATTAACAGCAGTCAAAGCCCTGACAGGTGGAATAGCCCATCTTTTCAAAACGAACAAGGTAAAAACAAATGCCATATTTAAAACAAAAACTTAATGTTTTTTTTTTCTTTAAAGGTCACTTTGGTCAAGGGCCATGGTACAATTACGGGCACAAATGAAGTCACAGCGACGAGGGAAGACGGCGGTACCGAAAAGATCAAAGCGAAGAACATAATGATTGCCAGCGGATCAGAAGTCACCCCTTTCCCAGGGATAACGGTAATTAATTTAACTGATAAATTTAAACGATAAAACAAAATTGATTTTTTTTTTTTAATAAATTCAGATCGACGAGGATACAGTGGTGTCATCGACAGGTGCCCTTTCGCTCAAGCAAATCCCGCAGAAGCTCGTCGTCATTGGAGCAGGTGTCATTGGATTAGAATTGGTAAAACAAAATATTCTTTTGTCAGATTGGTACAATCGTTTCTATTTATCGAACCCCCTCCTCTGCAATTTCAAAATTATCAAATAATCTATTTTTTAACTGTTTAAACATTTCATTAATCATTTAATGAATGTTGTTACATAATTTACACCAAAGAATGGTAAATTAATCATTAAACATCAGTATAATAAAATTTAAATGTCTACCTCTAAACCTTGCATCTATGAACTTGATATTGCTGTATTAAAAATTAACTTTTCATTTTTTTTCTTTAATTTCTTTAATATTTTTTAATTTTTAATATGTTATAAACTCATTATAGCCATCAGAAAACATTAATATTTAAAAATCAAACCATGAAAATTATTTGTAGAAATGTAACGGAAAGAAATCTTTCAAAAGTAGAAAATTTGGTTTGTCCCCTCCGCAATTTCAAACTTTTATATTCTCATCTCTTTAGATTTTGACAATTTTAGTGCAATTTTTATTGATAATTTAATGAATTGAGTTACAAAAAAAGTTAAATAACAATAAATAAATAATTAAACTTAATTGTAATATTATTTTTTCTTTAAACTCTAGATCTATGTACTTTTTGTAGTGTTAAAATTTACTTTTGTCAATATTTTTAATTTAAACATATTATAAACTCATTGTAGCCATTAGAAACAGTATTATTTACAAAATATTAATTAGATCATAAAATTTTATTTGGATTTTTTTTCATTAAATGTATAAATTTATATTACCCCCAACACAATTTCAAACTTCTATGTTCTTGTTTCTTCTTATTTTCCATTTGGTTTTTCAGTATTTGTTTCCTTTTCATGGCTTGATTTTTAAATATTAAAGTTTCTCATAACTGTTAGTGATTAATGTATTAAAAAATAGACTAAATATTTACAAAAAAAAAAATTTAAGAAGAAAAATGAAATGTAGAAAGTAGAATGACCCTGTAGAAAGTACAATGACGTACGTATTATAGGTAGAATTTATCATTACATTTAAGTTATATTATTTACTTATTGTTATTCAGCCTTTTTGTGCAATAAACTTCATTAAACGGTCCATAAAAATTCCATTAAAACTGTCAAACCCTAAAGAAACAGGAATATGGGACAATATTGAAATTGCTGGGAGTGGGGGGTTTATATCGAATTGTTTTAGCGTTCTATCGACATTATATTTCTCCTGTAGCTTATATATTAGCATAATTTTAATCTTAACCAAGACCTTGCATAAAAAGAATAATAAATTTAAAGAAGTAATTTGGTCAATAGACTAGTAAACATAATGTATTTATTAGCATAATGTTATGTTTTATGAAGTTAATTGAATAACATTATTATTTAATAATTAAACATAGTACAGTTTTTCTTTTTAGCCTTGCTTTTTTACTTGTTTTGTTATTCAGTGTAATTTTTTTTTTCTTGAGGGTTCTGTCTGGGGACGTCTTGGATCCAAAGTGACCGCGGTTGAGTTTATGCCTTCAATCGGTGGTGCTGGTATCGACGGCGAAGTGTCAAAAACATTCCAGAAGGTGCTCGCTAAACAGGGTAAGTTTTATTTTATTTTATTTTTTAATTTTTGTATGTGTGTAATTTTTTTTTCTTTAATAGGTATGCAGTTTAAACTTGGCACAAAGGTAACAGGGGCTGAGAAAAAAGGAAGTACAATTGTTGTCAACCTTGAAAATGCCAAAGACCCTTCGAAAAAAGAACAGGTTTGTCTTTCAATAGTTTCTTTGTCGGGTTTTTTGACCTGTTTTAACCAGAAAATAAATAAAAAGCCTATTTGGTATATTCAGTCTAAAGGGGTTTTCAGATTGAAGCTGATGTCCTTCTCGTATGCGTCGGACGCAGACCGTACACGGAGAAGCTCGGCCTTGAGAAGCTAGGCATTGAACGCGATGAAAAGGGCCGCATACCGGTCAACAGCAAGTTCCAGACAGTCGTGCCAAATATATACGCCATCGGAGACGTCATACATGGTCCGATGCTGGCACACAAGGCCGAAGACGAGGGGATTATATGTGTCGAAGGAATTTTGGGTGGGCCGGTGCACATCGACTACAACTGTGTGCCGTCAGTAATATACACTCACCCTGAAGTTGCCTGGGTTGGAAAAACAGAAGAAGACCTCAAAAAAGACGTAAGTAAAACCTTATTTAAAACAAAACATCTTTTATATATTTTTATTTTATTTTATGTTTATTTATACAGGGTATAGCGTATAAAATTGGAAAATTCCCATTCGCGGCGAACTCTAGGGCGAAGACGAACAACGAGACAGAAGGATTTGTTAAAGTCCTCGCCGATAAACACACCGACGCCGTACTTGGCGTTCATATCATCGGACCTGTCAGTGTTTGTTTTTTGTTTTTTTAACATTAATAATAATTTGAATCTTGTTTCTTAACTTATTTTTTTTCTGATTATAGTCTGCCGGCGAATTGATTGCTGAGGCTGTTCTAGGCATGGAATACGGTGCATCGGCTGAAGACGTAGCGAGGACTTGTCATGCCCATCCTGTAAGTTATTTTAAAACAAAAAAAAACTAATTTTAAACATACGTATGTTAGTCTGTCCCTAACACTCACTACACTTACTCTAACCTAGTCTTTTCCATTGCTAACCCAAATTTAGTCTAACCTAGTTTATCCCTACCTAAGCTAATTAACCTAAGTCCAAAACTAACCTAGTCTATCTCTAACCCTATCTAAGTTAACTAACTTTAGTCCATACCTAACCTAACCCTAGCATAGTCTATCCATAACCGTACCTAAACAAACTAACCTAGTCTATCCCTAACCCTACTTAAGCTAATTAACCTAAGACCATGCCTAACCTAGTCCGTCCCTAACCCTATCTAAGTTAAGTAACCTAAATCCATACCTAACCTAACCCTAGTCTATCCCTAAGCCTACCTAAGCTAACGTATCTAATCTAGTCCATTGCTAACCCAACTTTAGCCTATCCTAGTCTATCCCTAATCCTACTTTAGCTAACTAACCTAGTCCACCCTTAACCTGACCCTATGTAAGGCAACTCTGATCATTCCTACCAACAGCACCAGAGCTACCCCAACTAGCCTGTTCCTAAACCTACCTTCGATAACCCTACCTCTACCTATTCTTAACTCAGCCAGTCCCTAACATACTTAGCCTAACCTAACCCGTCCCAACACTATCTAACCATTATTAGCCTTACCTATTCTATATTACCCTAAACCTACCTAACCTACTTAACCCGTCCATAACCCTACATTTTGTCATATGTTGGTACATTCAAACTCTTTGAACCTCCCCTATTGTAAAGTAAACGTTAAAAGTTAATTTTAAAAAAAACTAATTTTAAACCTTTTTTTTATCCTAGACATGCTCAGAAGCCCTGAGGGAAGCACATCTCGCAGCGTACTGCGGCAAGGCGATCAACTTCGGCTAGAGGGAACCAACGTGGGTCATCAGGGATGGACAGCTATTTGTCAAAATTCGGATTATGATAATAATAATTTAAAAAAATAAAATAATCCTAGTGTCCTGCAGTCAGAAAAAAAGTTAAAAACTATATAGATTGTTTGTTTAAATTATTCATTAATTATCGCTTATAATTTTAATCATTTTTTCTTATCTTTGTTGTTTTTTGCATGTGTCTGTACATAGGAATTCGTCTTCGATACATGTATGAAACCAGAGTATGAGATGAGTCGGGAAAAAATTATATCGGGCCTGTACATAACATTGACAAAAAATGTTTTATTTTAATAAGAAATATTTTGTTGTTTTCCCTGTTTATTGGTTTTTTTTTTTAAATCACCTGTGTCCTTTTAACTAATTCATTTCTACTTATAAACAAAAAAAGTTATGGTCTTAACCCCCCTCGAATAGATATACTGTTGAAGTATGGAAATATGTTGAATTTATTTGATTTGCTTTCCTTGGTGTGTGACAATCAGCATACACAATAAGCCATCTTTCGAATGAGTTTTAAAAAAGAGGCAGAGTTATTTAAAAAAATGAGAAAAAATCTCAGACTAAATTTTACGGACGAGCACCAATCCGACAGACAGCCATGATCCAGTAGGTTTATGAGGTTATAAAATCCTGTTGGAAAATTATTTACTTCGACATTACTTACGGTCGATCCGAACGGTTTAAACAGCTAGCCTGTTTGTCCAATACAGGGCTAGCCCACAACATATTTAAGATTTTTTGCAATATTTTGACCAATTGTTTCGAGCAGAGTTAACCGCTGAGTTAGTTATAACCTCAAAAGAAACTAGAAAGGTTATGTTCAGAAGGCTGTTTCAAGGTGTCAGGTTTTATCGAAAGGACTTCATTAACGATTACGTAAGGGAAAAAAATGATAAACAGGATGGCAAAAATCTTCATTATTCAAGTAAGGATTCAAATAATGGAGTTCAAGTCTAACTATTTATAAATTGTTTGTCCTTAACTGTAACAAGCTTTTAACTGTAATGCCAAACACTAACCTAGTATTCGCCACTTTTTATTTGGTATACGCTGAATAAAAAGTTTATAACAAAAGAAACATAACAAATGTTAAAAAGACTCAGAAATTGCCTCTAATTACCTGCCTTATCAAAATTACTAGTGGTCTAAATACTGCAATAGACCAATGGAGAGATATCTTGATTCTCCTTGACTTTTCCAAAAACTTCAATAACATCACCCACTCTTCACTCATATCCAAATTCCTCCTTCCTCCCATTAAAATCTGGCGTTCTGCAAGGCTCCAGCATCTCTACCATCCTTTTTAGTATATACATTGACAACCTGAACAACTCCATCCAGAACTGAAATTACCACTGTTTATGCCAAAATAATTGGCATAAGGACTTGCTTCCGTAAGATAACTAATCCCTTGCGCCCAATTTCCTACCTGAACAGGCCGATAAGAGACTGTGTCTATCATGACTCGAGAGGAACTAACCTCTTTGCTTCCGTGCGAAAAATACAAATTGTTATTATCCCTTACTTCAAGAGTTATTATCAGTTATTTTAAGTTTAATTTTCTTTTAATTTGAAATCACGGGAGTGAAATCCACCTGCTGCAGTCAATGGAACGATACGTTCTAGGCCAAGAGAACCTAGAACGTATCGTAGTCATTTAAGTCATTGTATTATCCACACCCTTGGTTATTTTGAACATTTAGGCGCTGCATTGCCGGGTAGTGGAAAGAAGATTGGCGAGGACTACACACCCATTCGCCTCGGTAGTTAATTTTAGTTTATTTAATTATTTTTCATTACTGGTTTTGCAGCTACACCAATAATACCCTATTTTTAACAATACAAGCCTACAAACATCTTTATGCAGACGACTCGTAAATTTTTCCACCCCTCAGACCTACCTATTAGCCATCCTAAAGAACCAGAATGGCCTAAGTCACTGGATGCAGACTTCTCCTCAAATCCATCCCCAATAAATAACCAGCCCATCCCTCCATCAAAAACCTTGAGAGTATCCTTGACCAAACCTCTCCTGGCACCCTCACATTTCCTGCCGCTGTCCCTCAGCCTATTCCATCAATCCTGGCTTCTTTTACCCTTCTCCACCCTAAACTGCTAGTATCTTCTCTTATATTTCTCTTCTTCATAGGGGAGGAGCAGAGGAGGTGGCTGAAGAGCATCGTGAACTGCTGGGTCAGATTCGGGTGTCTCATCTGTATTCGGATGATTTATGGCTCAACCTTTCCTTCAGATCTTAGCACTTCTAGGATCGTTTTTCAGTTTTCATACCTGTCCTCAGTTCATAGTACAATATCGAAAGAACATCTCTCTCTCTCTCTCTCTCTCTCTCTCTCTCTCTCTCTCTCTCTCTCTCTCTTTCTCTCTCTCTCTCTCTCTCTGTCTCTCACCCAGCAGGAGGATTTGAGTATAAGGGAGGATTAAATATCCTCTTAAGCTCCTCTGAACCCCCCTTTACATCAGTTTGATTAACAAGTACACCCGTGAAGTGGAAAGTCGGAGTTGAGTATCAGAGGCTATTAGAGATATATACCACTCCCCACTCAATGGAGATATAACCTAGCATACAGAAAAAAACTAAAGAATGAAATTGTTGTGGCAAGGTTAATTAATGGACCTAATAATTTTGAGAAGAATGGTTCAGTCAATTGCACTGAGCTATCAAACTAGGAAGATACAATAAGCCAAAAGGTTGCAATGCCTGTGGAGCGCAAACCCCGCTTCCTAGTAACCTCAACATCATCATCTTAACTCTTGTTCTTTGGGCAACGCTGAGATGAAAACATGCTGGCTCTGTCAGGAAGAATCATAGACATCGGGCACGAATCCTTTGCGAATGTAAAGCGTTAGCCTTCTTTTTTTTCTTGTTTTTTTTTTAAATTTTACAATATCATTGATATATTTTTGTATTTTAAATTTATTTTATGTTTGACTTGCATAAATACTTTACTCCCGAAAAGTTATAGTTAAAGTAATAAACTGATATCAAAAAAGTCAGAAGAGATGAATTTACACCTTTTTGCCATTTTTACATTATTATTGATATGGTTTTATATTTTCAAATTTATTTTTATTAAATGTAGTATAAATAGGCAGTTCATCTATTAAGAAAATTTTTAAAATGTGTTTAAATTTGCAGATATCAAAAAGTCAGGCATGGCCGATTTATTCATTTTTTGTGATTTTTCCATATTTTTATTTATTACAAATTATATATTTTTTGTTTTGAGGGACCTAAAAGAAAATCTTAATAACAAAAATGAATAAGAAATATAACAAGCCTTGAAACTGCAAATATCAAAAAGCCAAATTTACTTATCTTTTTTTAGATTTTACATTATTATTGATATAATTTTGAATTTTCAAATTTATTTCTGTCCGACTTGTATAAATACTTTATTCCCAAAATAAATTAATATAGTGTCGAAATTAACAGATATTAAACATTTCATCCAGCTTACTTCCACTTTTCTCACATTTCTCACACCCATAGAGATGAAAGAAGAGGCGCCAAGGAAAATGGTCATTTTCTGCATCAACCCCCAAAAACCCTTTAAAAAAATCTACCCTGCTGACCTTGGACTTATGCCTTAATCAGAATTATTTCTCCTCGTCAAATCATCATCCTTCATCAATCTCTGAATCAAAGTTGCTACTCAAATTTGTTTTTGCAAATTTATAATTTTTTTTTTTTTTACGCCAAATGATAAAATATTCAAATATGTTATCTGATGTCCTCATACGGTTTCGACTATCTGAACAAGGTGAAAACTAAAGATAATACAATTCCTAGACAAAATTTTCGTTTCGAGGACTCAGATATTCCGTACAATAAAATCCCCCCTCGTGATTTCTGATCGTGGATTTGTCATTTAAAAATTCCACCTGTCACAAGGGTGTATTGAATTTCAAATTTGAACAAATATTGTCTCAGCTTGTACTAATGCTAGTTTAAATTATGACAACTGTTCAGCAGATACTCCTAGATATATCATTAAAAAATTATGTTTTTTCAATTTAAAAAAAAAAAATCTTCAAGAAGAATGCAGAACTAGAAATGTTGAAAGTCAAAATAGTTTAAGTTTTTGTAAATTCAATGAATTTTTTTGTTAAATGTCGCATAAATAAACTCTTTGTATTTATGGAAACTAATAAGAAATTATAAAAATTTGCATAAATAAGAAATATAAAAAAATGTTGAAATTTGCAAGGTTTATTCCTGGGTCTTTCCGGCCATACTCGTCAAGTCGTATACTATGTTGAACCTTTACCAAGTTAAGTTTTTGGAGGTTTTCGGTGTCTACCTAGTCTGCACTGACTCCGTCAGCATGATTACTAATGTTCGTGAGATGAGGCCAAATTGGACGAGGCGATCAAGTCCAGGAAGTCCCAACCTCCGGACTTAACCACCTCTGAAGCTAAGAACGCAATAAAAAAAAGGTGGTAGTCAATGGACTCTCGCTATCAAGAGCACTGCCAAAGGGTGGTCCTCAGAGATGGGTCATCCTCATCCAATTAAAGAGATGACGCGGATTTTGAACCAAAGCCTGCGTATGTGTCCGCAGGCAGAGAAAGGTGTTGACAGCACCCTCCCTCCCTGAGACCAACCCCGGTGGACGGATAAGACTGAGTCTGCCAGTGTACTACGAGAAGCGAATAGGCTCAACCTAGCCCACGTTTGCACATACATACATGTGCGGATTTGAACTTATATAAATCCAACAACAAATCCAAAATTTCTGACAAACATCGCATATAACTTTATTCACAAAAATTTCCTGGAATAATATTTCTGTCATTGTTAATAGATTAGTTAGGGTGGAGAGACCTTAAGGCGTATAATTCGACAGAACATAGCCGGGTCATATTTTACATTATAATCTATTTAAATATTTTACCAGGCGGTAGTTTTTGTATACGTGCAAATTTCGACACTTTTAACGTTTCTTAATAATTTCTTTAGCTAAGAACTTTTTTATTTGTTACATTTTACAAAAATGAAAATAAAAATTATAAGAAATATTACCATTAATGGGAATATAGCACAAAGGAGTATATTTACTCTTCTGACGTCTTTGATATTTGCACATTTCAACACTTTTCTTTTGATGCAAACTGTTTATTTAGGCTATTACAAACAAAATTAACATTGAAAAAACAAAAATCTCAATAATAATGTAAAATAGGAAAAAAAAGAGTAAATATTCTGGTCCTGGGTTTTCAACATCTGAAATTTTCAACACTTTTTTAAATTTCTTAATATAAGAACTGCCGATTTATACTAAATTTAACAAAAATAAATTTGAAAATATAATATATCAATTATAATATAATATATCAATAATAATGTAAAAATTACAAAAAGGAGTACATGACATGAGCCTCTCCTAAATATTTTTAATATCTGTTAATTTTGACACTATATTAATTTATTTCAAGAATAAAGTATTTATGGAAGTCAGACAGAAATAAATTTGAAAAAATATAAATAAAATACAAAAATATATCAATAATCAATGCAAGATTTAAAAAAAAAAAAAAAAGTAAATCTGGCTATTTTATATTTGCAGATTTCAAGACTTGTTATATTTCTTATCATTTATTTTTTTTATTAAGGTTTTTTTTAGCCCCCTCAAAACAAAAAATATATAGTTTATAATAAATACAAACAGGGAAAAAAGTGATAAATGAATAAATCGGCCTATAAATATCTGCAATTAATACTTATTATGTTTGTTATTATTTTATTTTGTATTGAGTATTTATTTAGTCTAAAAATAAGACAGAAAGATGCCACAGAGAATAGGTGAAATACCAAAAACAACAAAAAATGGTGCAAAAGCATGGAAATATGTCTGACTTTTTTATATCTGCAAATTTCAACACTTTATGCACTTCTTTCAATAATTTCTTTACTTTTGAACGTTTATCTACACTAAATTTAACAAAAACAAATTTAAAAATACAAAAATGTATCAATAATATTATAAAATAACTAAAAGTACGATGTATTAATTTATTTCAAGAATAAAATTTTTATTTGTGCTGTTTTGACATAAATAAATTTGAAAATACAAAATAAATAAATAATAATGAAAAATTACAAAAAAACTACCTATTTTGATTTTTTGGTATCTGCCAATTTCAATATTTATACCATTTTTTATTCATTTATTTTCTTACAAACTGTTTATTTAACCTAATCTCCAAATAACATTAATGCAGAAAGTACAAAAAATATAAATAATAATTAATAATGGAAAATAACAAGAAGGAGTAAAAATCTCTCAGTTCTCGCTTTTGGATATCTGCAGAATTCAGTACTTATTCAATTTGTAATTAATTTCTTTTGTTATTATCTGTTTATTTGGCATATAAGTTTTAAACTATTTACATAAGCTATATTTAACAAAAATATCATAGAATTTACAAAAAATACCTATTATCAATAATGGGAAAATAGCAAAAAGAATCTGACATGTCTGACTTTTTGAGATTTGCAAAATTCAAGACTTGTAACATTTATTAATAACTACTTTAATTTTCAACTTTTCTTTCAGCCTCATTTAAATAAGTAAGATCATAGAAATAAGAAGAAGAATAGTGAAAAAAAAATATGCCAATCTGACATGGCTTTATGATATTCAATAATAATTCCTTTAGTTAATAACTGAATAATACAATTCATAAAAATAAATTTTAAAATTTAAAAAAAATAGTATGTATCAACATAATGTAAAATAAAAAACCTGTAGAAATTAAAATTTAGGGTATGTCATTTAATCTCTTTAAAAGATAGTTCTCTCAAAGTTTGTTTTTTTCAAACGACCCGAATTTCAAGCGTTAAATGCTCATCATCAAGAGTGACAGTCAAGAGATGTTTTTGAAATCCTTGAAACCTGATGAGTTCTGGGTTTTCGATAACTGCAATTTTCAATACTTAATCCATTCGTTAATATTTTTTTTTATTATAAACTGTTCATTGAGCATTATCTAAACAAAAGCGTATAAATTTTACAATAAATATATATCAACAATATTGGAAAATAGTAGAAAAAAGAGCAAATCAGCCAGTTCTGACTTTTCGATATCTATAAATTTTAATACTTATTCCATGTCTTTTTCATTTATTTTCTTATAAACTGCTTATTTAGCCTGTTCTAAACAAAACAAAAATCATAAAAATTACAAAAACAAATTGAAAATATTGGAAAATATCAAAGAAGGATAATAAATCTGCCGGTTTTGACTTTTCGATATCTATCAATTTCTATACTGATTCCATTTCTTATTCATTTCTTTTCTTATAAACTGATTATTTATTCTACATTTAAGAAAAATATTATAGATATTACAAGAAATCTAATCAATAGTGGAAAATATCAAAAAGGTATATCTAGTATATCTCCAAGTTCTGACTTTTGGATATCGTCTGAATTCAGTACTTATTCAATCTGTAAACCATTTATTTTAAGCTGTTTATTTAGCCTACTTCAACAATATTAATAAAAAAAAGTCAATAATAATATAAAAAAGTAAAACTATTTGTAAATCTGACGTAGACAACTTTTTGATACCAAGAAATTTTGACACTTCTTACATTTCTTATTCATTTCTTTTTTTATAAACTGTTTATTTAGCCTGTTCTAAACAAAACCATTACTAAAAATTAAAAAAAAAATCGAAAATATTCGAAAATTTCAAAATAAAAGAGTAAATCTGCCAGTTATGACTTTTTATGCTCTTCAAATCTTGGCCCTTTTTACACTCCTTTTGTGATGCAGAACCAATTTAATCTGATTGCATTATAGAAACAGTTTTATAATAAAATAAACGAATAGCAAAAGTAAAAATTGTGCATTTATGGACTTCATGTACGATGAAGAAATATAGCTGCTGATACCAAAAAACCAAGCGAGCCAAGCAGCCCCACAGTCCTACTGCAAATAACAATAGTTCCAATAATGTATATTTCAATTTGTTTTTGTTAAACTGTTGAATAAATAAAATATAAATTTAAAAAAAATTAAATAATTAGAGTTGTTGATTGAGGATCGTCCAATTTGTACAGAAGAGGATAAAAATGCCTTAGAATGGATATAAATAGAAAAAATAAAACTTAATAAAAAATCATTCAAACCAAACATAAACAGTTTAAGAAAAAAATTAAAAAATTGAAGAAGTGAGTTTTCATTCATACTCACGCGGAAACTTTCTTCTTTTCTCTCAACACACACACGCGGAAACTTTCTTCTTCTCTCTCAACACACACACGCGGAAACTTTCTTCGTCTCTCTCAACACACTCATCCTGAAACTTTCTTCTTCTCTCTCTCTCAACACACACGCGGAAACTTTCTTCTCTCTCAACACACACACGCGGAAACTTTCTTCGTCTCTCTCAACACACTCATCCTGAAACTTTCTTCTTCTCTCTCTCTCAACACACACGCGGAAACTTTCTTCTCTCTCAACACACACACGCGGAAACTTTCTTCGTCTCTCTCAACACACTCATCCTGAAACTTTCTTCTTCTCTCTCTCAACACACACGCGGAAACTTTCTTTTTCTCTCTCAACACACTCACGCGGAAACTTTCTTCTCTCTCAACACACACACACGCGGAAACTTTCTTCTTCTCTCTCAACACACTCACGCGGAAACTTTCTTCTCTCTCAACACACTCGCACAGAAACTTTCTTTGTCTCTCTCAACCCACTTGTGCTAAAACTGTCTTCGTCTCTTTTAACACTCTCACGCACAAACTTTCTCCATCTCGCAACACACTTACGTTCGTTTATAGACGTGAAATTTTGCTCTTTTTTTGTCGAATCGACTATTTTACAACTTACGTTTATTCTGTGTTGTATATAGAGAGATTTTGCGGATCGTTGTATTTTTTTTTTTTAAAGGCGGGCTGTGATATTTACGTACGGCGCGTGCGCGGCCCCACTCCCGAATGGCGTCCGACGGCCGCGCGTACTCGCCGTCTCAGAAAGTCAGAAGTCAGAAGACGCCGGATGGCGAACGCGGACTCATCGCTCAGCTCGGAGACGGAGACGACAACACGTCGAATGTGATGGCCGAGGACGCTTCGCCCTCATTCACTTTCATACACAAAGGATCGTCCCAGCCGACCTGAAAAAAGGAATTTTTGTTCCGTTTGATTTTTTTTGCTGTTTTTCCCCGCAACCCCGAGGCCGTTATCGAACGAGGAAAATTCAAAGAGGAAAAACAACTGTTTCTGGACATTCAAGGCATAAGGTGAGTGATCATTTGACGAAACACATAAAAAGCAACCTTCCCAAAAACGTCAAACCATGGAAAAAAAAACCAAAAAAACAACACTTTCATATTCTCTCTTATTTTTATTTCAACAAAGAAAAAAGTGAAATCCCGTTCAAAAACAGTTTTTTTCACCACTGGCAATAAGTTTTACTCTTCTCGTAACTTACTCAAGTTGTATTTCACTGAGGAAAAGGTTATAAAGTACAAACAGGTTCAGGACGGGTACATTTCGGGTTTTCATTGTTTTCCTCTTGCCTTTTTATTGTTTCTGTTTTGGGGGAAAATGGTTTTATTCATGATGCACAAGAAGAAAAATGATTTCTTCCATCGAAATTTCGAGGGTTTTTTTCTTGTCATTTCCTCCAGCACTTCTCCCGGAAACTGGTTCGCGGATCGGCTCTGGGATCTAGTGCAAACAAACGAATCGCTTCATCCGGGACAGTATCATTATTGACTGGTCGACAGAATGTTATTGTTTGATAGTGTTAGTTGGTCAATTATTGATTGAGCTAATGAGAGTATGTGAACGGATTTATAGGTTTGCAAGTGTACTACTCGATAGGGTGAACATGAATGTGTGTGTGTGAACGCCTGGATTGTGTGAGTGAGTTAGTGAATGACTGTGAGAAACGGATGTTAGTGTACGATTGCGAGTGGTAATTGTTCCACATTACGCACATTTGTGAATGATATTTGATACGAATGAGTTGAATAAATTAATCTACTCTTTAGCTTTGTTCAACTTATTTCACCGAAGCCTCGATAATAATTTATGTTTAAAAAACAAGAAAAAAAAAGAGATTTGTGTTTACCAAACAACTTTTAAATCCCATTTGCTTATTGTTTCCTTAAGAACTGAGATAAGATTTCGGGGGTATTTGTGTTTGTTCAACTAATTGACTAATGCATTGTCTACCTCTTTGAGTTTGCATTCTTTGTAAATCGGAGGGGGTATGTATGACACAAAGGCTAATTGGCAACTCTCATAAGGGTGTGTGACGTCAGAACAACATGTAGACGAAATGTATGACGCCAGTTACTAATTAGTTACTGATGTATGACGTAACGAATGGGATCTCGTGGAAGGTAACGAATGGGATCTCGTGGAAGTGTTTCTGATACCAGTGCAGACGTATGACTGCAGTTGACAAATCTCATACGGGATGTGTGACGCCAGACCAGATGTATGACGCCAGTTAGCAAATCGGATCCGAGGTGGGGGACCTTTGAACAGATTTATGACACCAGATACGAATCTCGTGCAAGTGTGAGGCGTTTGAACAGATTTCTGACGTCAGTTACTAATCTCATGGCGGTGCGTCTGACGCTTAGAACAGATGTATGCCGTCAGCTGGCAAATCTCATGCGGGATGTGTGACGTCAGGACAGAATTATGACGCCAAGTACGAATTCATGGCGGGCGTCAGAACAGATTTATGACGTCATTAGGCAAATCTAATACTATGCCTGATGTAAGAACAGATATATGACACCAATAATGGCTGTCGAAACGAATGTTTGACGTCAGAGTTAATAGGAAAAAAGGCGGTCCATATTTTTAGTTGTTTTATTATCCGGTTCTCGAGCCATTGTCTTTCGCGTCCCGTTTGTTTAAATTCGTTCGTGTACAGGATGCACCGATTGCGACCGATACCGGATGAAAAGAGCGAACAGAGGTGGTTTAAAAAATGTAATGTCTTATTTATTATGGTAGTTTCAGCATTTTAATACATTATTACCAAAATTTGGTAGCATCGGTTTTTTACAAAAATCCATTGCCAACTTTTGGTAGGGTTGGTAGAAACTCTACGTCTTCGAATGTATGTGGCTAGTATATCCCGTATTCTCCAGGCAGAATAAATTGAAAATGCGATTGGAAAAAAGGGGGTTAGAAATGTTATCGGCGAGTATCTCGTTCTCCTTCTTTCACATTTCCCCCTCGTCCCAATTTCTTCCTTATTTCCTTTTTCCTTCGGTATTGGTTTATGAATAACATAAAACCGCCGGCCGGGCAACCGATATTTTATCTTTCTCTTCCGTCGGCCGAAATTATCCATTTACTTATTCAGTTACGACCAGACATATTTTCGCCTTTACGCCCTTTGCACGCACGTAAACTCTTGTCTCTGACTGATTCGAGGTCGGTTGGAATCGGCGATGTGGTGGCGGGACGGGGGGTATGAAAAATCGATGCCAGGCGGACCCACGGGGGAGGAAGCGCCGGCGATTTATCCCAAAGTAATGCGACGGACGGCAATCTCATCTGGATGAAGGGTTTTAAAAAAATCTGAAAAAAATAACGAACTTTTGAATTGGATTTTCCGGACGAAAAAAGAAATAAAAAGGTATTTTTCAAAAACTGCCTAGTTAAAAAAAAAAAAAACCACACCCCTGTCAAACTGGTTTTCGTGGATCGAGACCCAGTTCGTCGATGAAAACCCGACTGCTTTACTTTCACTCCGTCATCTCGCAACACACACAGACCCAAAAACCGGTATTGAAAAAAGCGAGATGTGCCGGATCCACCCAACCCTCTTCACCTCCCTGGATCCGCTTCAGCTTCTAGCATCCAAGTTGGACGGCGGCGGCTGCGACTCGGTCGATACAATCCGGTAAAACCAATTTGGCTAATTTTATTACGTACGGATCGCACTTCGAAGGAATTCGAGAAATCGGGCCTTATTTTTTTTTCAAAAAAATATTTATCTTTTTTATTGCCAGAACAAATGTATGACGTCAGGTTTGAACAGATGTTTGACGTCAGTTGGCAAATCTCATACGGGGTATGTGACGTCAGGTACGAACTCGTGGAACCTTGTGACGCCAGAATGGATGTATGACGTCAGGTGGCAAATTTCATACGGGTGTGTGACGTCAGAGCAAGTGTAACGTCAGAAAGTAACATGAACGTTTGACGTCAGAGTTAACCGTAGGAAAACAGCAATTTTATAATAAATGTTGAATATAGAAAGCGAATTGTGCTTGTTATTTTTTTAAATTAAGAATAATGTCATTTTTCCTGAATGTCACACTGATGAACTTTACACATTAGTTTTTACAGTTATATTATTTAATCACTAAACCTTCCCAACCTGGTAATATCACTTTCTACTAAAAGAATTACTAACCTTAGTACATTCGTGTTGAACGAGTATAGTTACCATCAATTTTGATGTCAGAACAGACGTATGACGTCAAGTTTGAATCTCATGGCGGTGTGTGACGTCAGAACAGATGCTTGACGACATGTCGGTAAATATCAAATGTGGTTTGTGACGTCAGAACAGAGGTTTGAGGTCAGAGAGTTCAAAAATTACTTAGTCATATATTAATGCAAAACAGTTATTGTTGCCGCTTTGAGATCTAAAAATTACTTACTTTAGTAGTGCTTTAATACATCATTACTATAGAATTAATTAAGGTTTTTAGTTGAGATAAAAAAGTCAATGGCACGAGCGGGATTCGAACCCACGATCTTCGGCTTGATACTCCGCTGCTCTACCACTTGAGCTATCGTGACCTCGATCCACTCGGACACCAACTTCCCATCTCAACCGCACCTTTTGAATTTTCCCTCCTTTTTTGCCATTTTTCAATTCATTTCATTCAAAATTCAAAAGGTGCGGTTGAGAGGGGAAGTTGGTGTCCGAGTGGATCGAGGTCACGATAGCTCAAGTGGTAGAGCAGCGGCCGGCGTATCAAGCCGAAGATCGTGGGTTCGAATCCCGCTCGTGCTATTGACTTTTTTATCTCAACTAAAAACCTTAATTAATTATAATATATTAGTCAAGCGGACCACGAAATTAGTGAATTCATTACTATAGAGTTGAATCATGACTACTGGATATGCCTATATCACTTTTAATAAAATATGTCACAATTAATACTATAACATTGTAATATAATCTCTTGATTAAAAAAGACTTACCTAAGTAATTACGGTTATCAATTTTTATTCCGAAAAATAGTTTACGTTAGTAATTTATTATTACAATAGGGTTGTGTTTATAACCTTTGGTTCCAGATGTCGCGATGGCTTGTCGTTGTTGAAAGGGGGTGAGGAATGGAAAACCAGTCAGGTTCGAATCTCATGGCGGTGTGTGACGTCTGAACAGATTTATGACGTCATTTCGGTAAATATACGGGGTTCGTGACGTCATAACAGATGTATGACGTCAGTTGGCAAATCTCATACAGGAAGGCCCGGTTTTATTTATGGAGCATTTTTTGCTTATAATTGGGAACGGGGTGAAAAGAAAAAAGTCCCATTATTTACCGTAGGTCGGAAAAGGGGGAAAACAAAAGGGTGGAGGGGTAAAACTTTCCGATTTCTTCTTTTTAATCAACGCGCGTGGCCAGGACGTCGAGTGGAAAGGGGTAAAAGTCATCTTCCGAGGTTGCCAAAAGTCGAGTGTTTACGGCCTGCCCACCTGGCCGGACGATTTGGCACGGTCTCATGGGGGTCGATAAGAGGATCAGCGGGTACAGGGGGCTCCCGTGGGGTCCGTCCAGTCTCGCTTACACGTCGCGGGTCGACGCGCCCGTCTCCTGGCGTTGTGACAAGATATAAATACTAGAAAAAAAACAAGTCCACGTGTTTATATTTCGGAAGAGGGACAAAAACAAAACTAGCTCCTTTTTTGGTCCGGAGATACAAAATTTGTCCCAATTTTTTTAGTGACATATGATCTTTTTGTGGAATGAAATTTTGTTTATATATTTAAAGAAAAAATGTAGAAAAGTGCTGATTTTTTTTTCTTTTCCTTCGTCCAACCCTCGCAGGTTGCTATGCACGTGGAATGGCCGTCTGCCTGAGATGGGGCTCGGGGCGTTTCATCGCCCTCGTCGCCGTCTGCGTCATAACATGGCTCACCCTCCTTTACACCGGGAGGAGGTACGACGCCTCCGACATGGCCCAGGGGTTCGCGGGACGTGAGCCGAAGCGAGAGCCCGCGGACCGGGTTGTGGAGGAGGGCATCGCGGAGGTGGAGGAAGTCGGTGCCAGGTCGTGGTTCAGGCAGAACAGAACGCCGCCGGAAGGCTACCACCCCGACACGTGCATTCGGGTCCAGGAAGCGACGGCCGACATCGCCACCGGCCCCAACCTGGCGCAGTTCGACTTCCAGGTAAGAACCTACTAAAAAACCTTCAACACCTACTAAAAACGACCACACTTATTTAATTATTATTATTATTTTTTTTTTAATTTTCAGCCTTATTGGATGAAGAGCAGAGAATACTGGGACGCCTATTTCGAAAAGCGTTACAAAGAAAGCCGAGAAGGATGGCCAAAGCTGCCTCTGAAGGTAGGTGTTATTGCAACCAATAAACAGGAGTTAACAAATAGGCCACACCTGTACTACGAAATTCTGAACGAAAATCTTAGATCATATTTTTATAATCTCCATTTTGTCTCGGAACTTCGACTAAACCAGGCGGAAAATCGATGTTCACCTGTCAGGCTTTGTGACTGGCCAGGATTGCACCGGAAAGGAAAAATCCCCCACCCTTCTACTTTTCACAGCCCGATCGTCTTGGGAAAATCCAATTTCCTCCTTTTTCTATTATATATAGTATTTATTATATGTTCAACCCCACGGCAAACTAAGTTATAACACCCGATGGTGATGAAAAACAAGAGTTGAGTGAAATTATAACAGCTGTTAAAAAGTTATAACCTTCACTTAAAACCGGTTGTGAGGTTCAAAAACCTCAACTCAAAAATCTTCCTAATTATAACGGTCGGAACAAGGTTTAACCTCCATTTGTAACCAATGATGAGGTTTTAAGTGTACTACTAAATTAGTACAACTGTTTAAATATCATCTCCATATAACAGTCCCAAAAACAAAACCTGTTCTTTTTAACATAAGGTTAGTGTTAAACTGTTGTTCTCTGAAATTATAACAGTCACAAAAATATAACCTGACTTTTTTAACCTAAAAATTAAGAGTTAAAAGTTGTTCTCGTAAATTATAACAGCTACAAAATATATAACCCTGTCATCTTTAACCTAAAAGCAAGAGTTAAAATTATGTCACAAAAATATAACCTATCTTTTTTACCTAAAAGTAAGAGTTAAAATTTTGTTCTCGGAAATTATAACAGCTACAAAAAAATGTAACCTGACTAGTTTTCATTAACCTGTTTTTTTTAAAAATTAATCTCGGAAATTGTCACAAAAAACAACCTGACTTTTTGAACGTAAAAATTTGTGTTAAAAAGTTATTCTCTGAAATTATAACTGTCACAAAAAGTGTGATATGATTATTTTTCATTTAACTTGTTTTTGTTTTTTTAATTGATCTTGGAAATTGTCACAAAAAAACTCTTTTTTAACCTAAAAATTTGTGTTAAAAAGTTGTTCTCTGAAATTATAACAGTCACAAAACAATATAACATATCCTTTTTAGTCCAAAAATATGAGTTAAAAAGTACAGCGCTCTACTGGTATGACCTATTATGAAATAAAAACATGAAATTTCGGTTTTTAAATCAACAATTGGTTTTTGTCAATTTTTTCCCAGGTGATCGTCGTTCCTCATTCACACAACATCATGACAAAAACAGACATCTCAAAAACATTACAATTTATACAAAGCCAAAATCACACAAAGAACAACAATGACTCCACACAAAAATACCAAAAACATTAAAAAAACAATAAACAACTGCCCCCTAAACATTAATCCCAAAGAAACATACAAATACATCAATATGAATCCTAAACCACCAATCCTTACCTTACTCCCAAAAGTACACAAACCTAATATTCCCATCAGACCAGTAGTCAACTACAAACCAGCCCCTGCATCCAAACTAGCAAAGTTCGTTGCCAAAACCCTAAAATCCAATTTAAAGTTTAAAAACACATTCTCAATCAAAAACACATTAGGCCTAGTAGAAAAACTAAATAACTTAAAAATATCCCCAACTGCCAAACTAGTACAAACCTGTACCCATCTATCAGAGTCAAAGAGACCATGGATATACTAACAAGCGCTCTACACAAAAACTGAGACAAAGAATACGCGACACAGCATACACAACTCACTAGACTAACCACGTTACAAAACTACTTCAGATTCAACAATGAGATATACACCTTAAAAGACGGTCTAGCTATGGGGAATCCAACATCGGCCATTCTCGTAGAAGTGTTTCTCCAAAACCTTGAAGAAAATCATTTCCCAGAAATAATGGCAAAAAACGGAATACTCCATCTATTTATATACGTCGACGACATACTAGCCATAACAGACAACTCTTCCCCAGAAAACACACTCAGAGACCTTAACACAATACACAAAAACATTACGTTTACCATAGAAACCGAAAACAACAACATCATCAACTTCTTGGACTTAACACTCACCAGAACCAATAATAAAATCGACTTCAAAATATACAGAAAACACACGGCAACAGACAAAATAATAAATGCACAATCCAACCACCCACACCAACACAAACTTTCAGCCCTGCGACACATGATACATAGACTAAAACCAATCCCACTCAACACCGAAAACTACAACAATGAGCATTCCAATAAAAACGGATACAAAACAAACACCATCCAGAAACTTATAAAAAACAACACAAAACAACGAAAAACGAAACATAAATCAACAACAGATGGACAACATTCACATACACAGGAAAAGAAACTTACAAACTAACGAATCTGTTCAACAAACTCGAACTGAAAACAGCACTAAGGACCAACAATAACACAGGTAAACTACTAAAAAGAAACAGACAGCAACGATGTTTATAGCATCACATGTGGATACATTTAGATTGGACAGACTGGAAGGAAACTAAGAGATCGATTCAAAGAACATCTTAGATCCTTCAGAGACAATGACGGAAAATCAAATTACGCCACACACTAATACACTACAACCACGAACCAAACACAATAGAAACAAGCATGACATTAATACACAGCGCACAAAAAGGACAAAAACTAAACATACTGGAGAACCTTGAGATACACAAACAAATAACACGTAAAGACGGAAAACTTATAAATGCATAAACAAACTCACATTCACACACTACCTTTACACCATTAAAAACACTTTAAATGCCGAAACGCGTTTGATTAACTCAAACAAAAAACCCATGAGTGAAGAGAGACCCAGTAGTGCCCATGTGCCGGTTCAAACTGAGTTTACCAACTCACAGACCAAACCCCATCATCTACTCTAAAAATTTGTGTTAAAAATTTGTTCTCGGAAATTATAACAGCTACAAAAAAATGTAACCTGACTAGTTTTCATTAACCTGTTTTTTTTTTTTTAATTAATCTCGGAAATTGTCACAAAAAACAACCTGACTTTTTGAACGTAAAAATTTGTGTTAAAAAGTTATTCTTTGAAATTATAACAGTCACAAAAAATTTAATCTGATTATTTTTCATTTAACTTGTTTTTGTTTTTTTAATTGATCTCGGAAATTGTCACAAAAAACTCTTTTTTAACCTAAAAATTTGTGTTAAAAAGTTGTTCCCTGAAATTATAACAGTCACAAAACAATATAACATATCCTTTTTAATCTAAAAATATGAGTTTAAAAAGTACAGTGCTCTACTGGTATAACCTATGAAATAAAAACATGGAAAATTTTTGTTTTTAAATCAACAATTGGTTTTTGTTCATTTTTTTTTTCCAGGTGATCGTCGTTCCTCATTCACACAACGACCCCGGTTGGCTGAGGACGTTCGATAACTACTACCATTACCAGACGCGCAACATCCTCAACAACATGGCCGACAAACTTACCGCCTTCAAGAACATGACTTTCATCTGGTCCGAGATATCCTTCATGTCGCTCTGGTGGCAGAGGTAATTGATGCTATTTATTTTATGTATTAGTTGATTGTTGATGATGTTGTTGAACAGCGTCCATCCGACGAAGAAGAGAATCGTAAAGCAGCTGCTGAAGGAAGGACGGCTTGAAATAACGACAGGCGGATGGGTCATGACAGATGAGGCCAATTCCCATGTCTACGCCATGGTTGACCAACTGATACATGGTAAATCTTATTATTACTTTTTGTTGATGGTTTATTACTTTTTTGTTTCTTTACTATAGGTCATCAGTGGGTGAAGAATAAGCTCGGTGTTACGCCCAAGACTGGCTGGTCGATTGACCCTTTTGGCCACGGTGCCACAATGCCGTACCTGCTCAAAGAGTCAGGCGTAAGCGAAGGCGCCATAATCCAGAGGATACACTACGCCTGGAAGCAGTGGCTCGCTTACAAGCGCGCCGGGGATTTTTTATGGCGCCAGTCTTGGGATGAAACCGGCCGTTCGGACATGCTGGTCCACAACCAGCCGTTTGACATCTATTCGATCAAACACTCCTGCGGCCCTCACCCGCAGGTCTGTTTGAACTTCGACTTTCGCAAGATAACCGGCGAGTACACGGAGTACTCATTGAAGGCGGTTGCGATCGATGACGAGAATGTACGCCAGAAGGCGGAGCTGCTGCTCGAGCAGTATGGGCGTACGGGGTCACTTTTCCCACACAACGTCGTACTCATGCCGATCGGCGATGACTTCAGGTACAATCATGAGGAGGAATGGGACCAGCAGTACAAGAACTACAAACGACTTTTCGACTATATCAACATGAACTCTAAGGTTTACAACACCGAAATAGTTTTTGGCACGCCAATTGATTATTTCCGCGAAGTGAGTCGTTATAAGTTTAATTTTTTTAATGCTTTACATCATAATTTTTTTTTAATTTATAGGTAAAAAAGAGGACAAAGGAATTTCCGACGTTAAAGGGCGATTTCTTTGTCTATTCGGATATATTTTCCGAAGGTAGGCCAGCTTACTGGAGTGGGTACTTTACAACTCGGCCGTACTGGAAGATTCTAGACAGGGAGCTGGAGGCTGACCTACGCTCCGCCGAGATACTTTACACTCTCTCATTGAACAGGGTGCGCCGTATCGGTGACAACGCGACACTCAAAATCATGGAGCGAGACCTTGAGAAGCTACAGACAGCTCGAATGACCCTGGGCCTGTTCCAACACCATGACGCGATCACCGGGACATCGAAGTCGGTCGTGATGCACGACTATGCTTTGCGTTTGTTCCAGGCAATACAGGAGATGGTCTCTGTTCAGGGCTACGCCCTCCAGGCGTTGCTTACGAAGCCGCATCATTTTCCGAACCTCCCTTTATTTACGAGGCTCATACTACCCGATTCAGATCGTGAAAGCTATGAAAAGCTACCTGTCAAGTCAACAATAACGATCGAGAACGACACGCCGAGGCGTGTCATACTTTTTAACTCGTTGGCCCAGCCAAGGCAGGAAGTTGTGAGGATAAGGGTCAAGTCTGTTCACGTTGCTGTTTTCGACTCACAGAACCTAATTGTACCAAGCCAGATCAACCCGGTCTGGAACATAACAACAACATCGCAGAATATCGGCAGGGTAGGAGAACGTCTCGAAATCCCAACCATCTCCACTGTGCCCAACGTATACGAGATCGTTTTTGTGGCGGAACTCAACGCCCTGTCCATAACGACTTATTTCTTACGCACAGACATGGAGAAGGCGGCGTCCAAGGCTACCGTCTACTGCAAAGACTGCATCAAGAAGGGCATCTTCCCGTCCAACAGTATGCAACAGGGCGACATACAGCTTGAGAACCACCGGATGAGGCTCCTCATATCAAGCAACGGTTTTCTACGTTCAATTATGAACAAACAGACAGGTATTTGGATTTAGAACAACATCAACAATACAAACTATCACCTTTTTTATTACATCTGCATAGGAAAGACAACGCAATGCTCAATACAGTTTGCAGCGTACCCGTCGGCCCAGTTCCATTCGGGAGCATATCTTTTCATGCCCGATCCCAACTCGGTTTACCGCGAGAAGGACATCCTTGAAGAGCACAAAGAGTACACGGTCATAATAACAGCTGGGCCCGTCTCATCCAAGCTCATCGTCATGTATGGCAGCTTCTTGTTGCATTCTGTCGAGATATACCACACAAATGGCGCTCTGAGCCACGGGGTAATATTTCTGTATCATTTCCATTTATAATATGTCAAATTAGAAAATTTCAATGTTGTGTGTGAGAATGCCATAATGCGTGTATGTGAAAGTATGAATACTGTCTAGAATGACTGTGCAAGGCTATCATTGTGAAGGTCGTGAACCTTGTCATAAGTGAAAAGTGTGAATGTAGACAGTATGTCAGAGTGAGAATGCCCTGTAGTGTAAAACAAAATGTGAATGTGGTCAGAATGCAAAATGTGATCGTGAAGTGAACGTTGTGAGAATGCCATAAAGTGTTTATTTTCAAGGGTAAAAAAGGGTGAATGTAGTCAGTATGAGAGAGTGAGAATGTCATAAAGGTGAATGTTGTATGTATGGAGTGAATGTGAAAATTCCACAGAGTGAAAAATGCCATAAACATGAATGTTGATGGAATACCATAACATTGTGAATGCGGTCAGAAAGTCAAAATGTGAATGTGCAAGTGAAAAATGCCAATTCGTCAGTCAGTTGTCAAAATGAGAATGCGATGGTCAGTGTGGCCAGAGTGTGAATGTGCAAGTGAAAAATGCCAATGTCATCAAGCACTTAGTCAATGTGAGAATGGGATAAAGTGAGAATGTGGTCTTAATGACAAAGTGCGATTAATCAAGTCAGAATTACACAGCATGAAAATTGCAAGAATATCATAAAGTGGGAATATTTATGACACTATCATTAAGTTAGAATGCCATAAAGGTGAATGTGCTAGTGAAAAAATCCCATAAATTTGTGAATGTTGTGCTAATTGTAACCTCTTCATTTCCAGGTGTACATAGAGAACATCATTGATTTCAAAATGCCGCCTAAAAACAGGGAGACGGAGCTGTTCATGCGCTTCGTGACAGATGTGAACAACGGCGAGACTCCCGAGTTCTACACAGACCAGAACGGATTCCAGACACAGAAGAGGGTGAAAATCGAAAGGATCGGCATCGAAGGGAATTACTATCCAATAACGACGCACGCGTACATACAGGATAATGAAAAGAGGCTTACGCTCCTTGTGAACCACGCCATGGGTTCGGCGTCGTGGCAGCCAGGTTGGCTTGAGGTGATGCTCGACAGGCGGACGCTGTACGATGACTCACGTGGCATGGGCGAGGGAATCGTTGATAACAAAAAGACACTTTCTAAATACTGGCTGTTGTTGGAGGAGGATGTCCGGGACGAGGGGTACTCAAGGCCGACCTTACTTGCGAACCACCTCTCGCTCGGGCTTCTCTACCCAACGAACGTTTTCTTCCTTGACATCCAGAACCAGGAGACTTCGACGCCGCCCAGGCCCGAGAGGTACTACACATCGCACAGTTTCCTCACTGAAGCATTCCCTTGCGACGTCCACCTCATGAACCTGAGGACACTGCAGGACCCGCTCTACGACCATTTCCCGACTCCGACGGCGCTCATGGTGATACACAGGCTCGGCTCGGCTTGCCTCAAGACAGAGCCGGCTCTGAAACACTGCCTCGTCACAAGCAACGACATGCCCCTGATACAGGGCACGGTGTTCACAAACACAAATGTGGAGGTGACCCGGCTCACACTCACTGGACTTGAGAAAATAGAGAAAGTCACCTCGCTCGATCAGATACGCGTCAAACCGATGGAACTCGCCACATTCAACGTAACCTTTTTGTAAGGGCTTTTTTAACATCTTTACCCTCTGAAGAGGGGAAAAGGGTTGTAACCTCCCCAAACGAGAAAAATACAATAAATAAATTTAAAATAATAATAATAATAATCAGTATTAGCGCTGAGAGATAATTGTAAATAATTATATTTTATACATGTGATATTTCTACAAAATCTCTTGCCCTTTTTTTTGTTAAAATTTTATGTTGTTAATTTATATTAATTACACTTTCTATACACACTCTCTTATGTTGTATTTATTTATTTTTATTATTATTATTTTATTTTTGTTATCTAGGGCACCATATATAACACTGTATATAAATAATTATATATAATATGTAAAAGGAAATAAATGTTATTGTTTTATTAATTTTTTCTGTAATTTATGCAACAGCCTAAGTTTATTGCAATTAAAAATTTAAAAAAATTGTATAAAGGTATTTACACGTTTGATTTTATAAATGTATTTTTCCACATACGCATTATCCAACAAGTGTCTTCCTCGCCGATGCTACGACTAGGGCCGGGTTTGAAGTCTCCACGAGCATTCGCCTCATCTCGTCTTTCGTTTTTTCGTCGAAAGTTGTGTCGACGACTGCCAAAGGAAAAAAATTAGATAAAATATCGGCAAAAATCAACCACATGTCGCTTACCCTCCCAGTATTTGAAATCGTCCGACCTCATCTCGATCCATTTGGATCGGTCTTCGTCTGAAGGGTACACCCTGAAAATGTCTGGCGGTTCGTAGTCGACTTGCAGACAGAGCGTCTTGTAGTAGGCAAGGACATCAAGCAACGTGTCCCGTTGTTTTACAAGGTTCTCCTTGTATTCTTCTTTCTCTACGAGAATCAGGACAAAAGAAAATTATACATTTAAAAAAGCATAAGGATACACAAGGAGTGATATAAATAGATAAGTGAGCGTGAATGTGAAACTAAACCTTTGCAAATGATAACATGTCATGAAAGATTCATTGAAAAACACGATATTGGCGAGTGCAAATGTGGCCCAAAAGTGTGAATGAGAGATTATAAGTCTTATGATTGTATCATAAAAAGCTGTGTGAATGACATGTTAAAAAATGTGCTAAGTGTGATTGTGAATGTGGCACCAAAAGGTGTGTGAATGACATGTTAAAAAAGCTAAGTATGAGTGTGTATAAGATGTAAGAAGACGCGTGAATGATGTGTAACGTTACGTGTGAATGTTACACAAAATGCCGTGAGAATAAAGGTGGGTGTGAATGCAAAATACATACATTTGCTATAAAGGATTCAAGAACGACAAACAAGAATAATAGTTAATGTGTCACAAAAGTGAATGTGGATATGTCGAATAATAATAAAAAAAGCCACCTGAACAATGTGTGACGATACAAATTAGAAAACAACAATCAAGGATGAGGCCATGCCCATATGTAATGATACACATGAAATGTGACACCAAAGCTATGAGAATATACATCATGAGTATGAATGTGAAAAAAAAAAAAAAATGAGATGTAAAAACATGAATACGATGAGGCAAGTATTTTATGTGTCATAAAAAACTGGGTAAATGACAAGATGTGTGAATGAGATGTAACTAAGTGCATAAATGCATGTCAGAATAATTTTAGGCGATCACCCGCTTCAAGGCGTATCACTTCTTCGCAAGCCGACTCAACTCGAGCCGATATCTCTATGTTATTCGCCTTCACCTCTTTGAGCTTGGCGGCAAGGACAGCTTCCTTCTCCTGAAGTTCGAGTGTCAGACGGTTCTTCCCGTACTGCTCGCACTGTGCGTTTGCGTTTTTGATCGACTCTTCGAGCTGTTTCTTATGTTCTAGAAAAAAAAAAAAAATTGTAAGGGTTCATGATGCGCAATGTTCGATTCGGTCTTACTCTCAAAATCCGCCTTCTTCCTCTCGAACGCCTCGGAGTGTTCGCGATTCCTTCTCGCCTCCGACTCGGCCTTGGCTTCCCAAGCCTTATCCAACCGGTTGAACAAGATCTGCGGATTGAAGAACCAGTCAGGCGGTTCGACGTTCAACTGCTTAAAGCCCTAAATCACAAAAATTAATTAAGTGTTTTTATATATATATATATATATATATATATATATATATTAGGGAGAGTATATTATAAGAATAAAACAGATCAAATCCGTCTTTCAGTTGACGCCAGACTCTCGATCGGAAAAGATGTGAACGAGCAAGGCAAACGATTCAACTTGAAACTGAAAGGAATCAGGCACAAAAGAATGTGTCATGTTATACATTTACACAATTTTACGTCAATATATAAATCATTTTTATATATTAACGACAGCCTGTAAGTCACGACACGAAAAATGCGGCGTTCTACCTAATAACTTTTCGGATTGAAAAAAACAACAACAAAATGGCTCACCTTGAGAATATCATCCGGGTCAGTTTCAGGAATAAAATCCATTACTTTTTGCCCTCCTTTCCGAAACAGACGGTCTCACTTTTAACCAAAATATATCAAAATTATCGCGGAGTTCCTATTTTTTCGGCAAAACCGTTAGCAACAACAGTAAGAAAACGGTGAAACCTACCCCAAACGATTCCCGCCATTATTGCCATACTGCCTTACACAAAAATATTATATTTATTATAAATATTTTTAAAAAATACACACTATTTTTAAAAAAATAATCAATTTAAAAACTAATAAAGATCTACAAAAATTTGTTTGTTTAAAAACAAACTATTACTGTTGGTTAATTAACAAACAAAAACTCTTCTCATTTTGTGATAAGAGCCTGAGTATAACCTTCCCTGTGTGTTATCATTTGATAAGACGAGCAGCGTCTCTTTGTTGTTAAATTATGTGAAACATTTTTTTAATCCACATTTTACCACTCTTTTTGTCCTCTATCTCTGGCCAGAATAAAAAAATCAGGAAAAAATGTTCGTCCTTCCTGGTAAAGTGAGTGTTTACTGTTTCCTCCTGGCCCAGTCGAGCCTCCTCGTCTTCCTCCTCGGCCTGACTCGATTCCAGGATCTGTACGAGACGGCGATTAAATACTGCTTCTACTACCTGCTCGCCCACGCCTTAGTCATGAATCTAGCAATGGGGATGCTACTGGAGGATTTCCTTTACAAGGTAGACGGGGGGGGGGAAAAAGGTTGGAAAGTTTATCTGTGAATGTGAACTCTGTCTGGTTTCATCGAATGTCTGGAAGATGGTAAATCGTCGATTGTGAATGTGTGGAGTACCATGTCCCACGGAGCTCGAACGCATGGCGTCGTCCATGAAGCGTGGACGTCTGAACTTGTCCAAAGAGTTTGAATGTAGCCAAAGCGTTAATGATTGTGAATGTTATAACAAAAAAAGTATAGTATGAATGATTTTCATTCATTGGTTGTGAATGTTCGAAAGTTGTTATTCATTAAGTTATAAATGAAAAGAGGTAATTGGGTGCAGTCGATCCGAGTGAGTGTATTCGTCATTCAGCTATTGTGAATGTATGTATAAACGTGAATGAGTGCAGATTTGTTAATGAATATGAACATTAAAAATATTTAATTAATTTTTTGTTTCTGTTCCAGGTTGCTGTGAGATCGTACCTATTGGGCGCAGTCTTTTCTTGTGGTGTCTTCCTTGCAATTGTCGGCCCGCCATCCTGGACAATATTCGGATGGTAATTTTATAAACGTCTTTGTACGAAGTAGTCAGTGATGATTTTTTTTTTCTAAATAGGTATATGTGTGTACTTTCGTTCTTCCATTATTCAGAGTTCCTTACTATAGCCATATGCAACCCGAAGACGCTTTCAATCGACTCGTTTATCTTGGATCACAGCTTGGACTACAAGATCGCTGCAGCTGCGAGCTGGGTCGAGTTCTTCATCGAGCATTGGCTCTATGAAGGTTCGTAGGTCTGGCCGAAAGAAACGGTTGCATTCATACAGTTCATTATTGAATGTACAGATCTAAAGATGGCAAGGGTGATACCAACAGCTGGCCTGGCCCTGTGCATCGCCGGCGAGCTACTCAGGAAGACGGCGATGGTGACGGCTTCGACCAACTTCACGCACACTGTCGTTTCGAAGAAGGCCGATACGCATAGCCTTGTCACGCATGGCGTCTACAGGTTCTGCCGGCATCCAAGCTACGTCGGCTGGTTCTACTGGTCCATCGGGACCCAGGTCTGACCCTTTCGACCTATATTGTAAATACCGGCTAATATCTTTTATCACATATTTTCAAGATGATACTTGCCAACCCGTTGTGCACTGTGGCGTACGCCCTGGCGAGCTGGAAGTTCTTCAACGACAGGATCACAGTCGAAGAGCTCACCCTCCTCAACTTTTTCGACTACGACTACGTCGACTACCAGAAACGTGTGCCGACCGGGCTCCCTTTCATTAAAGGCTACAGGATAACTGACTAGCCAGCCGTCGTCTAACAGAGAGAGAGAGAGAGAGCGAATATTTATTGTAAAAAATAAATAATCCCCCTTAATGAAAAAATAACTAAAATGAAAAGTCAAGACGGTAGAGGACGTGGAGAACGCCTGCACAGCGTTCAGTACGACAAAGAAAAACCCCGCACAAACCGCTTGAGAAACAGGATTGGGGAAAAAACACTAAATTAAATAAAATTTCACCTTCCAAAAATTTATAAACGTTATTTTTTGGTTTTAGCATATTTTTCTAACAGTAAGATTTCGATTAAGATTAAGATTAATTCGTAATATTTATTTTAATCAGAAGCGACAGGCCACAAGCTGTTGACGAATTAGCGATTCTAACCCCCCTCCTTTCAAAATGTATATATTCAAAATATACAGAACTTGTGACATTAGAAATGTTAACTATCATTTACTTGTGTGTTGAGAGTAAAATGAACAAATATATTAATTAATTAATTAAGTCTAATTCATTTCAATTACTCATTAACTAAGAATATTCGGAATAATAATCACCACACATTAACTAAGAATGTCACTTGATGTTTCATTGGCTGGGTGAATCGTTCAATTCTTTCCTGAACGATTCACTGATAGATTGATCGATTCATTGACCAACTAAACGATTCTTTCACTTGCCAAATGATTCATTAACTGAAATAATCGGACGATTCACTGACTAACCGAACTGTTTATTGATTGATCGAATCTTTTAATGCGGGTCTGAACGATTCACTAATAGATTGATAGAATCACTGATTTATTGACCCAATTCCTTTACTATCTGAATGATTCTTTGACTGAATATTTCCTTAACGGGCTAAACAGTTCACTAATGGATTGATAGAATCACTGACTCAATGATTTATTGACCCACTGAATCATTGAATGAGTTCTTAACTCACTGAACGACTCTTTGATTGAACAATCCTTAACAGGCTAAATGATTCACTGACCAATTGAACTGTTCATTAACTGATCGAATCGTTTCGAACCCACTGAACGATTCTCTGGCTGATTAATTCCTTAACGGGCTAAACTATGCACTAATGGATTAATAGAATCACTGACTAAATGATTATTGACCCACTGAATCACTGAACGATTCTTTAACTGAACAATCTTAACACGTTAAACGATTCACTGACAAATTGAACTGTTCATTAACTGATCGACTCGTTTTGAACCCACTGAACGAATCTATCACAGAACATTTCCTTGACGAGTAAACGATTCACTAGCTAGTAGAAATACATATGGACTGACTGAATTTTTTCCTAACCCAATTAACGAATCCATGACTGAGTAATTCCTTGATGGGCTAAACGATTCACTAATAGATTAATAGAATCACTGACTAAATTGTTTATTGGCCCATTGAATCATTGAACGATTCTTTGACAACAATTTTGTCAGGCTAAACGATTCACTGACTAATTGAAGGATTCACTAACTGAACTATCATTAACTGATAGAATCGTTTCGAATCCACTGAACCAATCTCTGACTGAGCAATTCCTCAACGAGCAGCTAAACGATTCACTAGCTAATAGAAGTATTCATTGACTGACTGAATTTTTCCTTAACCGACTGAACGACTCCCTGAATTATTTCCCAACTGTCAAAACGGCTTAATTACTATATTCATTGACCAACTAAATGGTCAAACGCTTGGGTGATGCACTACAGATCGATCGAATCACTCACCGAACATTGACCCACTAAACGATTCTTTCACTCGCCAAATGATTCATTAACTGAACGAATCTGTCCAATCGAACGATTCAATAAGCATCATTTGACGAGAAATTTTTTTAAATGATTTATGCAGGTCACATTAGCATTTTCAGTCTGGAGGTGTTTTAATTTATAGAAAACAAAATGTCTTCGATCAATAGATTGACTGGTTAATGCCGTCAAAACTTTAAAACTTATATTAGGTGATAGCATATTAATCTTACTTGATTTTTTCCACTTTTTCTTTTGCCAATTCCATTGTAAATAACTGTGAAAGTTTTTTTTAACAATAAATACGGAATCGTCTAATGTATTGTTAATCAATTAATTAATAATTGGCGAAATGTTGATACGAGCAGAGTTACTTTCAAACGGGCCACTGCTGACTAAATTAACCTCTTTACCACGACCATCGAAACCACCTGTAAATGAATCCGATGACATTTATTATAATTTTATTTGTGTTTAAAGTTTTCTATATTTTTTAATGTTTTTTTAATTATTAAAGAAATGAAATTGAGAGTTAAAAACCATTTATGTTTTATTGTTGTTGTGTTGTTATCAGTGTGATAAGGGAATTGGCGGTCGGATTCGATAAAGGGCCTTGTTACATCTGAAATCGGCGCCGAAGGAAAATCGTTCTAGGCCGTTTTCTTCTACTCTTACCCTATTTGGACTGGGATTCGGCGAGTTTTCCGCTTTTCTTTTCCCCCTTTTCGAAGAGGATGACCGACAAATCAGAATCGTAAGTATAATTAGTTTGAATAATAATAAATGAAAGATGAAAAAGTCTGGTCTAAAGGGTGGATGGTTTATTTTTCCCCGTGTCAAAAAAAGTGCGACGTGGAAAGTCGGCGATGTCCGCTCTCGGGAAAATCCCGCAACTTCTAGAGCCTTTTTACCATAATTTAACCATATTTGGCTCATTTATACTTTAGGCTAATTTTAATATACAACATAAAATTTAAAAAAATATTATTTTGCCCCTTGTACGTCACACATTTACACATTCTCCAGTGTTTAAACGTTAAAATAATCTCAATAAACGACTATAAAATTAAAATTCAAAAATTTATTTAATCAAATTCCATTTATTGATTTCAATCTTAACTTTACTTTCTTAACCCTAAATAAGAAAGTCCACCTACAAAATTCCACTTTTGTTATATGTGAAAGCAGGGATGGAAAATGTATTTCATGATTGTTATTTTATCATTCAATTTTTTTTAACATAAAATTCTCACAGCTTAACCCTAAAAAAGGCACAGTTTCTGATATCTAAAGGGGCCGATTCAATGGCAACTCCTTCTCGGACGCCTGGCATAAAGTAAAAGTCTGGATGAGACACTAGTTACTCGCCGTCTGGAGTATGAGTCAGGGTGGGATTCTAGGTGAGTGGGGTTGAGATACCCAGTGTCAGGTGATGTCAGATATAGAGGTAGTTTATTTTGCTTAGTTATTCTGTTTATGTTTCCCTTTTGAAAGAATGCTGAAGTGGGAAATTTGTTTTTCAATCACGAGTTTTTATTAGAGTTTGGTGAAAAATACAGAAACCTACTGACCTTAATGAAGCGGAAATAGTGTAAGGCAAAAGGCATTGGGAGAATTAGTTTTGTTTTGTTAGAATATAGGACATTTGTTCACTTTGTAAATGTCACTGTTCACATTCACATTTTTGAACATCTGACACTCATGCACTTTACCAATGTGAACATCTGACACTTTTCTGCTTTGCCAATGTGAACATCTGACATTTTTCCACTTTGCCAATGTAAACATCTGTCACTTGTTCATTCACATTTTTGAACATCTGACACTTGTCCATTTTGCCAATGTGAACATCTGACACTTGTTCACTTTGCCAATGTGAACATCTGACATTTTTCCACTTTGCCAATGTAAACATCTGTCACTTGTTCATTCACATTTTTGAACATCTGACACTTGTCCATTTTGCCAATGTGAACATCTGACACTTGTTCACTTTGCCAATGTGAACATCTGACATTTTTCCACTTTGCCAATGTAAACATCTGACACTTGTTCACATTCACATTTTTGAAAATCTGACACTTGTCCACTTCATCAATGAGAATATCTGACACTTGCTCACATTCACGTTTACATTTTGAATGTCTGACATCGGTACACTTTCACACTTTTAAAAATTGATTGCTACTACCTGCCTAAGCATTTAAAAGTGTGAAAAATAATCAATGACGGAGTTTCAGAAGAGCGACGATCTTAAAAAGCAATTTTTGTTTCAATTTTTTAAAATTTCTTTCAGAAGTGATTCAAAAGAGAGAAAACGTTTCAAAAACATTGTCGACCTCTCGCCCGAAGACATCGTCGATCTCGGTGTCACGATCCTGCCGATGGCCGCCAGCTCCGTCCAACAGGTTCACACCACCACTAGACATATATCTGTAAGACTGTTTTTATTTTGTAACTTCTCAAGACAATTCTCATTTTATTATATTTCGATGTACTCACCGACTCAAAGATGCTTCACATTGTCATTCACATACACTCATTAACTCTAACACACATTCTCCCCTTTACACTCTCACACTCTTGTACATATTTTCAATACAGATTATTTATTTAAATATGTCTTTGTGATATTTAAAAATAATAATAATAAAATTCTAGCCTCACCAAGTGTACAATGATTATGCAAAAGAGCAGGAAGCTGAATATTTCTATGGTTCAAGGGAGCCGATGTATCTTCAAAGGGAGACGTTCACTTACAGAAGGATGATAACTTACGCCAATAGCGAAGGTATATTATTACTATCCAGTATTTACAATGTGGGAGTGTATTTATGACATTGGGGGATTAATATGCTTGTAAAAAAAAATAAGTTAATAGCTGATAACATAAAAAAGTTTTTATATTACAAACAAATATTAGAATCAATAAAATGTTATCAAAGGTTACATATTATAAAGAAAGTAAGAAGGAAAGAGAATATTTTCTTATCACTAAAATTTAGTTTATATAATTAAGTGTACAGTTTTTTTTTTAATATCCTTTTCTCTAGACAAGAAGCAAACAATGTAAAGAATAATGTAACAATAATGTAAAGAACCTTGTTACAATGGGCACCAATCGACGAAGAATCCAACACAAGCAGTTTTTGAGTCTTTAAACTTTTTTTTTTTACTTTCTTTTTTTTCTAACGCTTATAGCGACTGAACAGCTACTCCCCAATCCAGCGTGGCTCCGCCGTTAGGCCTCCCCACCGTCCTTTCTTCTGCCTCCTCAATCGTTGGAACTCTGCCTTATTGATTGTGCATGCCACTTTGGCGGCCTTTATGAAATGGCTTGTCATAAATATTTTTTTTAAATTATTATTATTTATTTATTTTTTAATAATAATATTTTTTTAAAGATTTTTTTTCAAAACTGTCGGACGAAATCATCCTGTGCATATTTTCCCACCTACGCCAGTACACTCTCACGTCAGTCGCTCAGGTGAACCAGCGTTTCCGCAGGCTCGCCATGGATGAGAGCCTCTGGCAGCGTATTGACGTTTCAAAGCAGATGCTGAAACCACATGCTGTTGGGTCGATAATCAGCCGTGGTGTTCGCGTCCTGAAGATGACTCGGTCGTACGTGGTGCAGCAGACAAAGGCAGTGGGAAATGAGTCGGGTTCAGACGCACCGAAGGGAAAGGTCGAATACCTGGACCTGAGCGAAGCCGTCATCGCTATAGACGGTGAATAGAAAATAAATAAATAAATAAATTGTTAATTATTCAATTTATTTTTCCAGACTTATTGAATTTGTGTAAAAGACTGTACAATTTAAAAAAGCTTTCCCTCGAGAGGTGTGTCCTAAGTAGCGAAATTATGATAGAAATATCAAAAAATAAAAAATTGGAAACGCTCAATTTGGCCATGTGCAACGGAATATGTGACAAGGGGATTAATGCTGTAGTCAAATCTTGCCAAAGGTACGTTGAATTGGATGAGGGAATATATAAATTTAATTAATTTATTTTTATTGTTTTTATATTATTTGCTGTTCAGTGAGACAGTGAATAGCTCAATTAGTCAGAGATTCGTTCATGTAATGAATCATTTAGCAAGTGAATCGTTCATTTAGTGAACAGCCTGTTATGGAATTTTTTGTCAGGTTCGATTACAGCGTTAAGGAATCGTTCTGTGAACCAGTAAATCGTTCATTAAACTGATAATGAATAGTTCATTGTTGAACGATTCAGTTAGTCAATAAATTCAATCAGTCAGTGGCTTATTCAGGCCATCATTAAACGATTCACCATTCAATGAATCGTTCAGTTAATGAACCGTTCAGCCCATTATGGAAGTTTTCAGTCAGATTCGTTTACTGAGTTAAGGAATCGATCTGTGAACCAGTGAATCGTTCAGTAAGTGATCCATCTGTTAGTGAATAGTTCATTGTTAAACGATTCAGTCAGTCTGTAAATTCAATCAGCGAATTGTTCAGACCATTAAGGAATTGCTCGGTCAGAGATTCGTTCAATGAATCAATGGCTTATTCAGTCAGTTTTTTTTTTTTTTCCCCCAAGTTTACTATTTTATTGCTCTTATATTTATTTTATTTTTTTCTATTCAATTTCAGACTGGAATCGCTGAATGTCGCCTGGACCGGGTTAAAAGAGAGTGCGGTCAACAAGTTAGTTTCTGGTATAAGTCCGTCAATCAAGAAACTGAACTTGAGCGGACATCAGCTAAGCTTGACAGATAAGCGTATGTCTTCTTTTTTTGTTTTTATCGATTGTTTATTTTTTTAATTTTTATTTATTAATATATTTTTTGACAGATGTTATCACTCTGATCAAACGCTGTCCTGATATCGAGGAGTTGGACATATCCGACTGTCTCGAAGTGACAACAGCTTCGGTAAACGCCTTGTCTGAGTCACTTTACCGCCTCCGGTCCCTCTCGATAAGCCGTTGCTACAAAATCGACCCTCTTGCCTTAACGTGAGTCGATCCCTGGCCAAACCGCTATACTGTCGGCGCACTGGGTGTTTTTTCCCCAAATTATTTACTTTTTTCTCTCTATTGCAGCGTGTTGTCCTCTTTGCCGAACCTGGAAAGTATAAACGCATTCAGGCAGATCACTATGGCGAACTTGGCCATTTTAGAGACTCGCCTTCCTGGCGTACGATTCAACAAGGACTTCCTCTCGACAATAGCAAGGCCGTGCACCGGAATCAGGCGAACCTCGATATGGAAAATAAGAGTGAGGGACTGAATAACCAACAAGTATTTCTACGTTTAAAAGTCAAATTATCCTTTAAATATATTTAAAAAAATTCTTACGTTATTTATTATTTAAAAAATATATTTTTTCTTTTTTGATCGTTTAGTTTTATTTTCTTTCCTTGTCTTTAAGCTGTAAGATTTTATTCTTAATTTTTTTAAAAGAAATTTTTAATTTAGTTAGGAGTCATTGTGCCACGGGGGAGGTTGCAATGTGGTTATACGTTCCTTTAGCTGGTTATTTGATTAAAAATAATATTTTGTTGTGTATAATTAATTAGTTGACCTTTAAATAAAATTAATTTAACTAAACGTTCGGACTGAAAAACATAATTATTATTTTTTTATTTATACGGTGACGATACGTTGAGACATCATGGCGGGAAGTTGCAGCAGTGTTATCCAGGCGACAGTTTTACTTCAAAGTCGGTTCTACTGTTCTCGTCCGTTGAGGCACTTTCTTGTATGTTTAATTAAAAAACAAAAAACCAGCAGACATGGAAAAAATAAGACGGAGATAGTTAAAAATTATTGAAATTCTTCGATATAACGATTGAACTTGAAAAGACTTTCCAAAGGGGACTTAAAAATGCCACCAGCTTTTTACTCCTGGCTCTTCCTTGTCTCCGGGCTATGCTTTGCAACGTTCGGCCTCTCTTTCTGCCTCGTCGCTTTTCTGTCGAGCCTTTTCTTCTTCCTCGGGTGAGTAAAAAGGAAAAAAAGAGTTAAATAAGACGACAATGAGAATAAAACATATTTATCTTCTTCGACAGGGTGGTTGTCCAGATGTACTTGCGTCAGAAGGCCGGCTACGAAGAATACGTGAAACATGAGAGGTTTGCCTTCCAGTCCTACGTTTACGAGGTGAGTTTCGTCTGTAACCTAGTTAATTATAGCTCAGATTAACGCTGAACGATTAACTGAACTGTAAGAGCTAACAATTAAGTAAGTTGAGCGTTTTATTCATTTTGTAATGGATCGTTTATTAAGTAAGTGAATCGTTCAGCTATGAATTTGCGGATCGTTCAGCAAGTGAGCGATTCCATCAGCCTGTAAACTAAGTTTCAGTGTATGAGCTCACCTTCAGTAAGTGAGTGTTTTATTCATTTAGTAACGGATAATTCAGTTCATGATCGGACCGTTTATTTAGTAAGAGAACCGTTCAGTAAATTAGCGAATTGTTTGTTAAATAAGAGAATCGTTCAGCTCTGAATCTGCGGATCGTTCAGTAAAGTGAGCAACTCTACCAGTATGTGAGCGGATTGTTCAGTAAGAAAGCGAATTATTGGTTACGGATATGTATTTTATTTAGCAAGAGTCATTCAGTAAATGAGCGGATCGTTTGTCAAATAAGAGATTCGTTCAGCTATGAATCTGGGGATCGTTCGATAAATGAAAGTTTTATTCATTTATAAATTTATTGTTCGGAAAGTGCACGAATTGATCAATTAGTGAGCGGATCGTTCAATAAGTGAACGAATCTTTCTGAAAAGGAAAGTATTTACCAACGCGTCGTTTGGTAAATGAGCGGACCGTTTGTTAAGTGAATCGTTCACGAAATGAGCGGATGGTTTGTTAAGTAAGTCACTCGTTCAGAGTATGAGCGGATCGTTCTTTGAGTGTACGAATCGTTCATTCTTTGTACAAATCGGTTAACCGGCGAGCAAAGAGTTCGTTCAAGCTACAAAATGACATTTTGACATCTGATGCCTTGTTTTTTGTGTTTTCCAGGCAGTGGAGAAGATGAAGAAGGATAAACAAGAGTTAAAACATGACAAAAGGTTGACCGGCTCCTACGTCATAGATGAACAGCTCCAGGACATCATCTCGTTTATAATACGTGACTACGTCTACCCGTGGTTCGTATAAATATAAATTTCTATTGTATATTTTGTGTTATTCAATTAATTACTTTTGGCCAGGTACGACCAGTTGAGCGACAACGAAGAGGTGCCTCACGAGATACGAGTTGCAGTGCAAAATGTCATAGTCGCCTTTGCAAACAGGTTTTGTGAGGGTTTGCTTTGGTCGGTGGAAGGTTTCTTTTTTACCCTCTTTTTCTTCTTTTCAGGATGAAAGAGGCAGACTGGATACCGTTTCTAACGACTCAGATCGTTGATGACGCCGCATCCCACCTTCGTCTCTACAGGCAGGCACGTTCCCGTCTCAAATCGCTTCCGGCCAACTCGAAGATGACTCTCGAGGACGCCTTTTTCGACCTCGAGCTTGCCATGGAGAACAACACCGTGTGCAGGGACCACGTGTGCAACAACCCGTCCCTCCAGAGGTGTAAGTGCCACTGGTGACCTTTCGATGTCAAACCCCTTACAATATTTTGACCTTTGACCCTCCTCGAAGGCTACCTGGAACAGTTGACGGACATCGTTCTCTTTTACCTCAGCCCCGAAGTCGAATTCCATTGCCTCGCCCTCAGGTACATCACGAGGGAACTGATCGTCAACTCGGTCCTCATACCCCTCATCAATAAGCTCTCAGACCCGGATTACATCAACCAGATGATTATATGGCTCGTAAGCACTACATAACATGCACACGTACACAATTTTGACAGTAACATTTTTTTCATTGGGATTTGACACAGTGCAAGGACCTGACGATAACGTCCGAGGTGTTCCTGACGGTGCTCAAAGTCGCCGACAACGTTGACGAGCTGCTGGCAACGAAGGATGTGCTCAACAAGGAGATCGCGACGCTTGTGAGTAACAGATTTGATTCTGCTCACGGCGATTCAATCATTTCAAGATTCCTTGATTATCTACAATTCTTTGACTGAAACACAATGACCCTCATAACTATTGAACTATTCATTTGTTTACTCAAGGAATGATTCATTTGTAAATGAACGCTTTACATTCACTGAACTATTCATTGACCAACAGACTGAACGAGGGAAAAATCTGAGAGAGAGCATCTCAGAACTATTGATATATAT